CGTTTACAATGCGGTATAATATTTCGAAGAAATGATACAGAATATGATTGGAGGACATTGGAGATACGAGTTCATTACTCTTTAGTGTCATTTAACTGAATGAAATTCTAACCTTCGCAATATTCATAATGATTGGAACACATACTAATACTGTAGTTAGCACTCCCTCTTCAATTCAATATGTGATTTTTGTTCAATGTTGCCATAATAAGGTTAAGAAGGTAAAGCAATTTCAAACCAACATACCCATCTCTGCATTTTCTGTATTTGCCTTGTCAAATGTCAATGCGTAGAAAACAGAGTACCATCTCTGATTTGGGTATGTACAATGAATTCATAAATATTCATTTTGACAATGAGATGTTGTCAAATGAATCATTTTGAAAAAAAATTAATTCTACCATAGATTGACTCCTCGGGTCATATATTTGAAAGAAAATCCAAGCGTTTCATTCATTTTTCTCTCATTTTCTCTCATTTATGGGAACCTGTTTTCTATGCGGTGAAATTTGATAAGGTAATGGAGGGAATACATAAAGCGCTTATTTTATGTAATGCCATTCTACCTTTAAGGTGGAAATACATAAAACGCTTTTTTGGCTTGCTTAAGTCATCGGCTGGCTTCTTCGTATGAAGGATCCTTGAACAAAGGAGTTTTAGGTTGACTTAGTTCTATTTTGGCACTAGGCTTCTTTGTTTATTTCCGAAGAAGCCAGCCGATGACTTAAGCAAGCCAAAAAACGCTTTATGTATCCCCTTCTTAAGTTACAGAAAATTCAGAGATGGGTATGGTTATTCGAAATAACTTTACCATTTTAATGTTTCAATGTGTCAATCTTTTAAATTACATGGCAAAATTGGTTAATATCTTTAAATCAATAATTAATTTTGAAAATATTTTGTGTTTATTTTTTTAAAACAATGAATACATACAAATTGGCAAAAATCGAGCACACTTAGAAAAAATTGTGTTCAGCTGGTAACTCACCTTACTTTTTTATTGTACCATGGGAATGTATTGTTGGCTTCAAAAAATATTAAGGTGAGAATACATAAAACGCTTTTTTGACTGGCTTTAGTCACCGGCTGGCTTTTTCGAACAGGAACAAAAAATTTTTAGGTTGGCTTAGTTCGATTTTCGTCCTAAGCTCCTTTGTTATTTTCCGAAAAAGCCAGCCGATGACTTAAGACAGTCAAAAAAAGCATTTTATGTATTCTTACCTTTACACATTTTATATAAAAATATTTTCTCCCATTCAAATCTAGGCACCACTTTAGAAATCAAGGTTATCAAAACTTGTGGTACGGAAACATACTTTAAGGGTGCACATGTAAGAAAAATGTATAATCACGCTAATCACTTTTAAGAAAATTTCCTTTATTAGATCGAAAGAAAAAAAAGAACAAACGATGCTCTATCAGCGTGAAAGATAATAATTGAAAAGCATTTTGTGCATGTAATAAAAATTAATTAATTATGACTCAACATAATTAATTAATTTTTCTACGGTGAAAACAAACAACAATAATTATTTGTTTAATGCGTGAAATGACACTTGTTTCTTTTTATTGTCTATTGTTCCAAGTCATATTTAAATATATTGAACATTTAAAATAAAAAAAAATATACATATAGCAGTAACCGATAAGGTTGTCCGTTTAGCCTTATCTCGCCAAGTAGGACCAGAATTATTTTCTTTTTCTTATTATAAATATTTATGGTTTTTTATATAATATTAGGAATATAATAAAATGCATTCATACATACTTACACTTGCTTCAATATTTATATTTCTGATGGCAAAATTTGGTTATTTGATCAGCTGATCCTATGTCGCAATTGCAAAAAATTGTGTAGATTATTCATATAGAAAGAAGTTTTTCATTCTTATCTTTGCCCCATTTTTCAAAATTTGCGTAGATTGTAAATAAAAAGGGGTATTTTATTTTTGGTAAGCAATATTAGCATATATGATACACAAGATAGTACAATAGTTCATAAGGTAAATATCGGCTGTTTTTTTTTTCATAAAAGAGGAAAGGAATTAGCTTGACAATTTTGGTCCATAAAATCGTTTGTTCTTCTACGAAGCCAGCAGGTGACTAAGGGAGAATACATAAAACATTTTTTAATGGCTGAAGTCATCGATTAGTTTCTTCGTAAAGGAACAAAAAGCGTAGGGCGAAAATCGAACTAAATCAACATAAAACTTCTTTGTTCATATACGAAGAAGACAGCGGATAGCTTAAGCCAGTCAAAAAAGTGTTTTATGTATTCTAACCTTAAAACGTTTTTAACTGGCTCAAGCCATCGGCTAGCTTATTCGTATAAGAACATAGAAATTTTAGATTGACTTAGTTCAATTTCGGCAAATAATCTATAGTTGTTCACCCTACGCTTCTTTATTATTTTACGAAGAAGCCAGTAAAAATTTGTTATATGTATTCTTAGGCTGGAAATACATAAAGAGCATATTTGGCTGGCTTAAGTCACCGGCTGGCTTCTTCGTAGATGAACAAATGAGTTTTAGGTTGACCTAGTTCGATTTTGGCCCTAGACTCCTTTGTTCATTTCCGAAGAAGCCAGCCGATGACTTAAGCCAGCCAAATATCTATACCAGAATAAAATGTTCTATATATTTTCACATTAAGTAGTAAATCATTATATTTTTATTCGGAGTAAAAACCGTTCACATGGTACAATAAACATGTTCGCAAACTAGACTAGACTATACCCTATGCATGGTAGAAAAACACAGGCAGTCGCATCGGCACAGCTGCTGGGACAATAAACTGTTATGAAAAATGTGTATCATAAGAACCACCAATTCGTTTCGTATAAGAAAACATGTAAAAATCTATTTATATTTGTCAAAACATATTAATATTATTGATCAATGTTCGCAAGCGTTGATGTATACATACCTTTATTTTTCTACCCCGTGGTAAAAGAATAGAGATATATGGATAAACGCTTGGAAGCATAAATATGTCAAAAGCTGACTTTACCTTCTTTATTACACCATAAAAATTCACCAATATATTTTTTGAAGAAAAAAAGTTTTTAATTTTTTAGTTTTTGAAGTTTTGAAAGTTTTTTTTTTTAACAACAAATGGACAACAATGGACAAAGATGAACAATAAATAGTTTAAAGGTGAGAGTACATAGAAGACTTTTGTCGGGTTAAGTCATCGGTTGGGTTCTTCGCAGAAGAACAAAGCATTTTAGGTCGATTTAGTTCGATTTTCTTTGTTCTTTTCCGAAGAAGCCAGGCGATGACTTACAGCACGTATACATATAAAGAGGTTAACCCGATGGATTTGGATTAAAATTGTCATATCCATTACATATACTTCAAATAAATCCTCTTGAAGTAGGTTAATCCTACAAAAAGTTCTAACGTAAACATGGCATTAAGCCAGTAAAAAAAGGGTTTTATGTTTTCTCATCTTAAAAGCGGAACAAGTATACATTATGGTCCAAAATCAACCAAAAATCCTTTGTTATTTTACGAAGAAGCGATAACTGAAGCCACCCATAAAAGCCATTTATGTACTCAACCTTAATGTTTTAATTGAAAAGTAAACGTTTGTATGTCAACTTCCGAAAGAATTAAGGTGGAAGTACATAAAGAGCTTTTTTGCCTTGCATAAGTCATCGGCTGGTTTCTTCGTAGAAGAACAAAGGATCCTAGGGTTAAAATCGAACTAAGTCAACCTAAAACTTCTTTGCTCCTCTACGAAGAAGGCAGTCGACAACTTATGTCAGTCAGAAAGCTTTTTATGTACTCCCACCTTTACAGAATTGTTCTAGTGGAAACAATCGAAAGTCGCAAGTGTTTCTACAACGGCGCTGCCTACATGTTCCGCCGAAATATGAACAAGCACTTGTTTTTCAAAGTGAAATGTTTCCACTTTATAGTTTTCGCGACTGTAAACCATGGTAGAATCAAGAAGGTAAAGTCATGCTATCATATGTTTACAATTAAAAAAAAATAATTTGACAACATTTCATTGTCAAAATATGTATTTATAAATCCATTGTATATACAAAAATCACAGATATTCCGTGACCAGGTAAATTACAGAAAATTCAGAGATGGAAATTATTATTTGAAATGACTTCGCTTCTTTTAATTTTACCATGCTGTAAACATACATAAGTTGTGTTCCAGAACCTGCAAATTAGTACTAATTAGCACTAATTCTGCTACAACGCGTTCCCGTACTCCAAAAACTAGCAAAACTTGCAGCTCTCTCGAGAAAAAAATGGCGCTGGTTGGTGCACATTTCTGCTTGTTTTAGCTACATGAATTTGGCCGAGCAGAAATGTGCAAATTGTGACTTTGACATTTAATTGGCAGGGCTAACAAGGTTGAAAATGTATTGATACATTTCAATAAAGAAAATGATCAACTTGAAAACTAAAGGAAAAACTAATATTTGTCGTGCAAAAAACAAAAAGAGAAAATATGGAGCAACTGATGTATTTACGTTTGGATGATTCCAGCAGTGAAGAGGACTGGCTGAATGAGGAATCAGATTATTAATTATTATTATAAATTATTAATTTTAACTTATCGTCTTCAATACTCATTTTTTAAATGTTGGCGCTCTTTTCAGCAAAGGTTTCACCAGTCTGATTTAGGCTGTTTACTTTTGGAATCTTGAATTTTGACATTTTATCGCATTTCTGCTAATTTTCCGTTCCCTTATTTTTTGAGCAAACCTAAATGAGAATGACATTTCGAACTGTTCTCTCTTCTGCTAGTTTTACTACTAAAAAAGTACTGGAACACAACTATATATGAATACATTGTGAGGATGATATTTTTGTTGTTGTCAGGCCACAAAGGGTTAAACAAGTACTGTACACCTTGTTATGCCAAAAAAGAAAAAGTAACCATATTTACAAAAACAACAACAAAAATATATGTCAGCTGTTGTATTATTCGCCCTATTTTGAAATGTTGACATGTCAAATTGATACAAATTCGCCACGTACTCCCCCACCCGCAACCAATCAATTCTCAATGAGCTGTGGAATTCAACTGCGAAACGGCGACAACGACGTGTATTTGTAATTGTATATCCAAAGAAAATGAGTAACATTATAACTATTTTCGAACTTTCGTGAAAAACGCTTCAAATCACATATTAACTACAAAACGCCTTAAATGAAATAGTTTTTCGTGTTTTTGGTAAAAATTCACTATACACAAAATTAATGCTGAAATATGGCTAGAAATCGTGCAAGAACACCAACGACATTCACATACTGTGTGCTAGTGGTGCTGTTGATAACATTGTCCAGCATTTTCACGGTTACGATAAGAGCGGAAGAACAAAACCCACAGCCGCAGCAACAACAATCGAATGCTGCCATTTCCCCCAACGGCAATGATGTTCCCTTGGCAAGTCATAACAAAATTTCATCAAATGCTACTTCAACGGCAGGAGATTCTACACAACAATCTAATAACAACGGTGGCAATACGCAAAATAGTTCATCACCAGCAGGAAACGCCGAACAATCTAAATCCAATCTAACAAATGACGCAAATAAACCAAACAACAATTCTGTGTCAACAAATGAAAATGGTGGTCCACCAAATGGCGAGAATGCATCATCATCGAGTTCAACCACCACATCCATATCTCCACCACCAGCAAATAACTCACAGCAGCAGAATGAAACAAAAGTGGTTACAGAACCTCCACTGCCAGATCATCATGCCGTGGAACAGGAGCACAATTCATCGCTGTCGCTGTTCTTTGTAATATGTGTCATAATGTTGGGTATTTTACTCATCCACTCAATGCTACAGACCGGATTCCAATATTTACCCGAATCCATTGTTGTGGTATTTTTGGGTGCCCTAATTGGTTTGCTGTTGAAAGTAATGTCCGGTGAAAATGCCAGCTGGAAACGTGAGGAGGTATTCTCACCAACGGGATTCTTTTTGGTCCTATTACCACCGATCATCTTTGAGTCTGGTTACAATTTACATAAGGGTAACTTTTTTCAAAATATTGGCTCAATTCTGGTTTTCGCCATTGTCGGTACGACAATTTCGGCTCTAGTTATTGGAGCTGGTATTTATTTGTTGGGCTTGGCGGAGGTTGCTTATCGGTAAGTATTTTCGTGTTTGTTGTTTTCAAGTAGGTAATTTCGAGAGGTTTAGCTAAAAGACAAAGTGGCATAGCTAATAAAAGTTGAAAAGAGAATTGGGGAGTAAAAATAAAGGAATGAAATTCGGTAATGGTGTACTTCATAGAATATGGAAATTCTGAGCTTCCGGGCTATGGACACATATATAAACTTCTTTATTGGGAAAACTTCAGCTTGAAAGGTGCAAAAGTTATTTTGGTATTTAAAGATTTATTTCAAAACTATGCTATCCCCCAAAACCCTATGGCAGGACCTGATTTTCACTAAATCCTTCTAAATCCCATTTCAGCATAAGCTTCGCTGCAAATGTAGCTTATTGAAGTTCTGGTCACTATTTGATGCAGTCATGCAATTGAAATTAAAATCAATTCAGATCTCTGAAACCTCTTCGACTAAGCTGCATATCAACGCGACTCCTGACTGCAAACCTTTGTCACTGACGACAATGTTCCATTTTTTGGGACTTGATATATTGCTCCACAACCTACCGATACTCGAGCTTTTGTTTACTTAAGCCCCAAAAGTAGTTTCCTGTCTAGCCTAATTCAAAAGTGATCGATCGTTTCTGTTTGGTAGCAATTACATCTTTTTTCCCTTTGGCCAATATTCCTTCCATTGCACTTGTTAAAAGAGATAGAGCTATATGGTTTGAAATCTAACAACCAGACTCCGTGAGTAATACTATTTCCGGATAGATTTTGACAAATCGAATGAAATTGTAAACGAGTGGCTTCCCAGAGTCTTTGATTACAAGACCGAGTAACTGCCAAAACTTTTGCATTTATATTTTCCCTTGATTTCCACGCTTTCATGCCACGCTTTGATAAAAGTAGTTTCGTTTGGAGTTGGTAGAAAATCGTTTAGTGGAGTCATGGAATCACTGGCTTTTTGAACCTTCTACCATACACAGTATGGAGGGTACATTAAGGTTGTCATTCCATTTGTAACTCATCGAAATAATAATTTTAGACATAACAAAATATATATATTCTTGATCAGCGTAAAATTCTAAGACGATTGAGCCCTGTCCGTCCGTCCGTTGTAATTACGCTAGAGTCAAAACGAATAAAGATAGGAAGCTAAAATTTTGCATAAATCAGTCTTTTGTCTGCAGGCAGATTAATTTCTGTATCGGTCCACGATATCGAATAAACCACATGTAACGGTACCCCCGTTTTTCGAGATTTTGATAATTGAAGCCGAATTTTTCAATGAAATTATGTGAAAATCCACAAAAGGAGTTCCTTTTAAGTTCTTTACCCCCTGGAAGAGTATTGTCTATATAAGTCCACGATATCGTATATATCCCCCATGTAACGGTACCTCTCTATATTCGGTATTTTGATGATTTTACGATGGAATTGTCTAAAAATCCATACTAGGAGTTCTTTCTAAGCACTTTACACCCTGGAAAAGAAATGTCTATATATGTTCAACATATCGAATAGCCCACATACAACGGTATGACGATTTTAGGGACCTTATTGACCGGAGTTGTTTAAAATTTCGTATTTCGTATTTGTAATGGGTACTACAGCCTATGACAAAAAATTGCGTATGTTGTCCCACGTCTTCGTTAACCTCATTAAAACGGTACTTCCAAATATTCGGTATTATGATAATTTTAGCGATAGTACTGAGAGTTCGTATTGGTAACTACAGAAAATTGTATATTCAGGTTCAGGTCTTCGTAAAGGCTCCATGTATCAGTACCTCCCTAGGTACAATATTCACCGAAATTCTTTGAAACTTCGTATTTGAAGTTCCTAATAGGTACTACAGCCTGTTGCAGACAATTGTCTTTTGTAGGTCCAGGTCTTCGTATAGCCCCAATATAACAGTACCTCCATATATTCGGTCCACGTCATCGTATAGAGCCCAATATAACAGCTACATTCGGTATTTTTAAGATTTTTACAGAACTTTTAACGGATTTTATTTTTTTGTTTTGAAAATTTCTAAATTCGTTCCAAATGGTGGAGGGTATTTAAAAGGTTCACCCAGTTTCTCGTATTTATATCGCCGCCATAATAAAATTTTTGTTAAGACCATAATCATCAACTCAAAAAATAGCTAAACCTCAAAAATTATTCTTTCCCCATAAAATCTTTATCTAATTTAATTAACCTGACTTTTCTTACAGCCTCAACTTCTCCGAATCATTTGCCTTTGGATCGCTGATATCCGCCGTTGATCCTGTTGCAACAGTTGCCATATTTCATGCCTTGGATGTTGATCCCATACTTAACATGTTGGTATTTGGTGAGAGCATTCTGAACGATGCCATTTCGATTGTATTGACCACAACGGTAACACAATCAGCAAATAGTCCACTCTATGCCAAGATGACAACAGGGGAGGCTATTTTCTCCGCCCTAAAGACATTCTGCGAAATGTTCTTCGCTTCGGCTGGTATTGGTGTAATATTTGCTTTAATATCTGCTCTATTATTGAAACACATCGATTTGCGAAAACATCCATCATTGGAATTTGCCATTATGTTAATGTTTACTTATGCTCCATATGTTTTGGCCGAGGGTATACATTTGAGTGGTATCATGGCGATATTATTCTGTGGTATTGTCATGTCACACTATACACATTTTAATTTATCCACAATAACGCAGATCACAATGCAACAGACCATGCGTACCTTGGCCTTTATAGCTGAAACATGTGTCTTTGCCTATTTAGGATTGGCCATATTCTCGTTCAAACATCAAGTGGAGTTGTCATTTGTAATATGGGCCATAGTTTTATGTTTAATTGGTAGGGCGTGTAATATATTCCCTCTGGCCTATTTGGTCAACAAATTCCGTGAACATAAAATCACAAATAAAATGCAATTTATCATGTGGTTTTCGGGTCTTAGAGGTGCCATTTCTTATGCCTTGTCATTGCATTTAGATTTGTCTAGCGATGAGACTAGACATGTCATAATTACCACAACATTAATTATTGTGTTGTTTACCACTTTGGTATTTGGTGGTTCAACAATGCCTTTGCTAAAATATTTGAAACCAGGCAAGAAACGTCGTTCGCGTTCCACACGTGGTTCGGCATCTTCGGCATCAACACGTTTGCGTAGCACATCTCGTAAACGTTCCAAATCCATATCGCTGTCGAAAACTCGCGAATGGGGTCAAGCCATTGATTCGGAACATTTATCCGAGCTAACCGAAGAGGAAGATGTGTCATTTGCCCAGACACGTATAGCAGGTTTTGGTCGTCTAGATCGTAAATACTTTATACCATTCTTTACACGTCGATTTAATAGTCAAGAATTACACGAATGCAAGTCACAAATGGCCGATTTGACTAATAAATGGTATCAGGCAATACGGGTTAGTCCCTTGGACTCGGATGAATCAGATGAAGAAATGGGTCTATCGGCCAGCACTAGTCAAAGTACTTTAAATGCAAGAACTTAATGGGTAAGGTGGGTGTCGCTAAAGTAATGGCAATGGGAAATATAGCAACAATTGTGATCATCATCTGGGTAGGAAGAATAAAATTGTTATCTTGGTATACGATAGAAATTGTTGGAGGTTTTTGCTCAACATAGAGATTTTTTTTCATTTTTTAGTCACAATTTGTTTTCAATAATTGCACAATTTTTTTGTAACATTTTACCAGCTTTTATTTTATGTTAACTCATATATTTGCACTTTGTACTAATTTAAAGGTGTCGTTTTTTCAAGTTTCAAATCTCTAGCAGTAACATTTTTATGCACACATTCAATTTTGGGTTATTTTAACATTTAACTTACAAATATTTTGGATTTACATTCATATTCCTATCTCAAACTCATCATCTACACAATTTCTTTGATTTCCAAATTATTGTGTGGTTGCTAAATGTTGTCTTAGCGTGCACAAATCAAAAGGTTTTCAAGCAAATAGAGGATTTTTACAAAATGAAAACTCCAAGTCTTAAATCAGTGACAACCAAAAATGCCCCTCCTTGTTATGATAGGTTTTGGGATAAGCCAGACCAACAGTCCACTGTCCATTCAGCAAAGTGGTATGTAAGTTAAGGAAGATTATTTTAATTGTAGAATTAGAACAAGGATATTCTATGAGTCATTTCCCATAAATGTTTGTAAAACGGAAAAGTTCGAAGGCTTGATTAGGACGATATAGGAATAAGATTTGATTTTCTAAAATGATGTGTCTTATCTTTTTGAACACTGGATAGCCTTAATTTCCTCGTCATGTTCACAGCATACCATATTACTTTTCTGCCACATACTAGCCACTTACTTTACAAGCCATGGGGAAATGTAAGATATGCTAAATATTGAAGATTGATGATGTGAAATCTAATGCCAAATCATTATTTTATTAAAAATGAGGGTCAGTTACACTGTTGTGTAGATGTAGGTGACAGATTGAACCCTTAATTCACCTAGCAGCCACCGGCTGATTCGATTCATCGGATACCCTTGAGATGCTTAATGCAAGCCACAGATTGCAATTGCGGAGAGGGAGAATTATATGGCTTTTGAAATCTAGAAACCAATACAACTCAGTGAGTCGTACAATTTCCCCAATAGACTTTGGTCACAGAATCTTTGATTACGAGACCGATTAACTGCCAAAACGTGGGCACTCTCATTTTCCTTTGAGATTCAGCTAATCCAAAAGATAATCATAATAGTATCCTTTGGAGTTGGTAGAAAATCGTTTCCTTGACTCATGCCTTTCTACCAATGTCCAGTGTTTCAAAATGCTATCTTATCTAGTGGCCAAAGTGTTTAGGATCACAAAAATATTCTCTATTTTTTGGATGAAGTCTTTTCTATTGTCTCTTTTAAGGACGTTTCGATCATTCCTTGGGCGCGTATATCAAATGGACTATAGGAAGGTTTAAAGGGGAGGGCCGTCACTGAAAATTTTTTTTTTATTATTTCTTTTTGACTTTTCGTTAATACCATTGAAATTTCAAATTATGGCTCTTCATGTTATGACGTCTGGTTTAGAAAGTAGAAGGTAGAATAAGGAGGTAGAACAGCTTTGTAAAACTACAGAAATACAGCCCTGAGGCTATGCCCGCTTCCTGTCAGAATTATTCAAAATAATATCCAACAACTTGTTTTCATTTATTTCATATTTTTTGTTCATGTTCTCTCAAAAATATGATCCTAAGTGTTCAATATTTCAATTCCGTGATTTAAGTTTCTTCCAATCATTGATTTTGAAAACATTTTGTTTTTATTTTTCAAAACAATAAATTCATACACAAAATTGGCAGAAAAAAGCTTGGTCATGGTTAGGCATATTTTGTGACATTTCATAAAGGGATTACTGACCCGCACTTAGATCCTGCCGTCGTTTTTCATTATAATTTGGCATTGATATACCTAGCCATCTTCAATCTCTTTATGTACTTGCACCTTTAGAACAAAATTGTATTCAGCTTGGAGCTCTACCTTACCTTTTTATTGTACCACGGAATTACCCAGGCTAGTTATTTGTCAGATTTTAGCTGGATAAAATGGCAGCATTAGTAGTTTTCTAGTATTTTCTTCCCGATCTATGTCTAATCAAGGCTTTCCATGGCTGATAGTCTATTCCATAAGATAACACCCATGAAATTCTATTAGCAACATATAATACAAAAAATATTTTTAATTAGCATTTGTATTAAAATTGTATCACAATTCCAACGAAATCGAAAAATACACAAAAATCGATTTAAAAAAATTCTTTTAAAGATATTTTTAATTTTTTAAAATTAAGTTCCTTTAAATAAAATAGCTCAAATTATATTTATTTAAATATTCTATATAACATAAATATTATTTATATATATTTTCCGAAACTAATTGCCAATGTATTGCAAAAACAGATGTACCTTGAAAAAATACATTCACAATTAACTACATTAATTACATGACCATATAACAATAACTCGCATATAATTATATATTTTTTTTTTGCATACAACAGTATTTAAAACATCATCGGAGTAATGTTATTCATATTTTTATAAATTATTTTAAATGTGTATTGTTTTTTTCCGAAAGGTAGATCCTTACATTGTCAAAAACAGCCATTTGAAAATGTTAAGGAATCCTAATTAATATTAGAAAACCTATTTAATAATAGAAAGAAATTTTCAATATTAAATTTCTTATTTGTGATCTACTTATTTTCTTTGTGAAAGAATGCAATTTATTTTTTTGTTAGCAAACCAAATGAAAACAATGTAATTTATATTTTTAATGTTGTAAAATAATAAGAATGGTAAAATGTAAAAAAATAAATAAACTAATGAACACTTGCAAAATCAAAAATAAATGTTTTAATTGTATTTTTTAAAAGAATTTTAAAATTAAAAATAAAACTATTAGAGCAACAAAATTGTGGATTTAAAACAGGCTGACGGTCCTTTTGCTCAATTTTTTAATACTTTACCAGTAAGGAAAAGTCAAAAGTCGGACGGGGCCGACTATATGATACCCTACACCACTATGCATATTTAGTAGAGCTCCCGTAGAGCTCAGCATTTGGATTTAGAGCAGTTATAGTTTGGTTTCAGAGGGAACTAATATATAGGAGGCATATCCAATTCTGAATCGATTTTCACTAATTTTGACAGAGACATTTTAATCTTTTATACCAAATAACATTGCTATAGAGTGCATGATATCACTTCGAGAAGGATTATATTACAAAAATATATATCGGAGCCGAGTTCCACAAAATGTAAACGTACGTCCCGAAATTAACTCCATTTTGGCTGATATTAGCCATTATTTGTACAATAAAACTGAAATCGGATTAAGGATATATATGGGAGCTATATCCAAATCTTAGTCAAATCGGATGAAACATATACATATATGGGAGCTATAGCTATATCTGATCCGATTTTCAACAAATTTGGTGTACTTGCTTCTAGACTGAATTCGGTCGGATGTACCAAAATTCAGGTCATTAGGACTGAGATTGGCCATTTGGTGCACAATTAACCCGAAATCGGTGGAATATATATGTGTGAGCTATATCCAAATCTGAACCGATCTTGATAAAATTTGGCAGAGGTATTTCTGGGATGTATCTGACATTTGGTGCCAAATATCATTGTTGTGGAGTGCATATTACGCATGTAAGGGACTTTAAATTTGATGTACTTGCTTCTAGACTGAATTCGATCGGACGTACCAAAATTCAGGTCATTAGGACTTATATTGGCCATTTGGTACACAAAATATCTAAATTTGATTCGTTCATCACCAATTTCAATAGGGTTCGTCATTGTGCCAAACAAATAATGTTTGCAATTATTTTTTGACTCAAAAGTTACTAACCGCATTCTGACATCGCGAAGTGATAGAATGCTAAAAATAAAGACGAAGACACGTGTCACGCGGTTTTTGCTCATGTCATATGCTTTTTTATTGACCCCAACATTGTCAACATTGTAGAACTAAGAAGTCAAAGTCGTTTCAAATCTTCCTACCTTCTGTTATTTAAAGTTAAATTTCACTGGATAAAATACAGCTTTCCATCTCTAATTTGTATATATACAATGGATTAATAAATATAAATTTTAAGAATGAGAAGTTGTCAAATGTTAAAATTTTAAACAAAAATTGTAAACATGTGATTGCATGACTGCCTTCTTAATTCTACCATTGGTTTCTAGTAAATATTGTTAAAGTAGTAAATCTTTGGCATATCTGCAAAGAGAGCAAAATAGTCGAGAAAAATACATTAAGGGGAACTGTAGACGGGTATGGTTCTTTAGCAAAAAAGATTCAAATTGTGAATTCTTGTAGCTTCTCCATATAGAGCTGTTGTATATGGACACTTAGTCTAAGGAGGCCTTAACATATTGCTCATAACCATATAGGTATGGCAACGTTTAAGTTGTTTTCCTCTCCTTCATTATACATCGAGATTCGTAAACAAACAAATGATTTATACCATTCTGCGGTAAAAATTATAAAAAATATTTGTCCATAGCTAAGTTTGAGTAATAAATATTTGTCTATTTATTTACTACCTAATTAGTGTTAAAATCTGGTAATTAAAACTAAATTCATATCCATACAATACCGGCTAAATGCTGTCTTTTAATTTCCGCCGTTTCGAAGATTTGCATAAACCAACGACGTTAGAAAACATTTGGTTGGCTCTGTACTCTGAAGAACAAAATGGAAAAAACTCTAGGTAAAACCACGTAAACCCTCTTCACTTCAGCAGAGATTATCAATTAAAAGCAGAGAAAAGATAAATAAAAGTCAGACCCATCATTTGTCAACATAACACGCAAGCAAACGTCATTGGAATATTTGCGTGAACATGAAAAGTCTTCCGGAAATATTGCTATTGACAGCTGTTGCTGTTGTGGTCATCAGTGCCGATGATCCCTTGAATCCAAAGGAACAGAAGGAGAAGGCTACCAATTTGCCACCATGCAAAGCATGTTCCACATTGGCAGCTTCGTTCAAATTGGGAATGGATAATACTAGGTACGACTAGAAGATCAATCATGGTCAAAAGAAGACCATTACAAAATAGTATAACAGTATTTGGAATATTTATTTAACTACTATATCTTTTAGCCGTGGCAAACATGCTGGCGGTGATGCTGCTTGGGAGGAAGAAAAATTGCGTTCATATAAAACAAGTGAGGTGCGTTTGGTGGAAATACAGGAAAATCTTTGCCAAGAAGTGCGACGAGGTCAAACTCAATGTCACAACATGGCCAATGATCATGAACATCTGCTGGAGGAGTGGTTTACTCACAAACAGACTGAAGAACCCGATGTCCACAAATGGTTGTGTATAGACCAACTAAAAGTTTGTTGTCCTGAGGGACATTATGGTGCAGAATGTAAACAGTGTACCGATTGCCATGGCAATGGCAAGTGTAAAGGTGATGGCACCCGCAAAGGAAATGGTAAATGTAATTGTGATGCTGGCTATGCTGGCGATGATTGTAATCAATGTGCCAATGGTTATTATGAAGCGTTCCGCGACGAGAAGAAGCTGCTGTGTTCGGCATGCCACAAAGCGTGTACGAAGGATGGCGGATGCAAGGGTGCTGGACCAAAAGGTAAGTGAAGGGGAGAGAATTCAGTGCAAATTTATTTGCTCTATCTAAAGAATTCTTATCAAAAAACGTTATATATCTGTAGAATACATATCAGAGAAATTTCTTAGCTGGAGAAGGGTCTCCTTAAAATGTCATGACCAATTATTGGATTTTGTACTACGAAAGAAATTTCAATATGGGTATTTTGTAAAGAAGACCAACCGGACTGCTCAATCTGCTGAAGGAATTTAAAAAGGTCTTCACTTGATACAAGTCCCCCCTAAAGGCTTTTTAAGTACGGAAGATATTTCAGTGAGAAACATAGGTATACAGAGAAACTAAAGGCTTTTTACTTACAGAAGAAGTCACAAAGGCGGTTTTTTAATAGAAGACATTTCAAAATATTTATCTCCCATCTCTATCTATCTAAACCAGGCTTCATGATAAGTCTCTCATCAGCTAAAACTTCTAAAATGATCATCTACTTATAATTTTTTTTTTAAACGATATTCAATATATAGAAGGCTTCTTCCTCATCTCTACTTGCCTTCTGCATTTATAAAACTTTCGAAAAAGATCTCAAAAGGTCTTGAGTACATACAAAACCTCTCACTATATCTAGCCATAGTACCAAATATCATTGTTTTCGAATGCAAATTACAAATGGATGAAATGAAACATATATATGGGAGTTATAGATATATCTGAGTCGACATATTTTGATGTACTCGCTTCTAGACTGAATTCAGTCAGATGTACCAAAATTCAGGTCAGTTGGATTAATATTGTCCATTTGGTGCACAATTAACCCTTAATCGGTGGAAGATATATATGGGAGATATATCCAAATCTTAAGCAAATCATGATATAATTAGGCAGACGTATTTCTGGGTTGTATCTGATATCTGGTACCAAATATCATTCTTGTGGAGTGCATATTACGAATGTGAGGGACTTAAACACCAAATCGAATGAAACATTTATATGGGAGCTATAGCTATATCTGAGCCGATTTTCTCCAAATTTGATGTACTTGCTTCTAGACTGAATTCGGTTGGATGTATAAAAATTCAGGTCATTTGGACTAATATTGACTATTTGGTGCACAATTAACCCGAAATCGATTGAAAATATTTATGGGAGCTATATCTAAATTTCAACTGATTCTCACCAATTTCAAACAAATATTGTTGGCCAAACAAATATTTCATCTCAATCGGGTAATAAATGCGACCTGCAATTTGTTCATAAAAATACATAGACAGACGGACTGACAGATGGACTGACATGCATACATCGACTCAGAAAGTGATTCTTTGAAGATCTTCAAAAGTAAATATGGATCTATCTCGCTTCCTTCTCCATCTTACAAACAAATGCACAAAGACATAATACCCTTACCACTATGTGGTGTAGGATATAAAAATGCCTACTTTTAAAGAAATCCTTAAAATGATATCTTCTACTGAATTCTACTGAAACAGTTTATTTTATTCTATTATACTTTTATTGAGGATGTTTAGATAAATCTAATTTATTCTTTATTTTATTTCCAGCTTGCACAAAATGCAATGAAGGTTGGCGTTGGGATGCCACAAATGGTTGCCAAGACATCAATGAATGTCTCGATAGCCCCAGAACCTGCCGGCCAAATCAATTTTGTGTTAACAATGAAGGAACCTATTCCTGTTTAGAATGTGATCGTTCGTGTGAAGGATGCGATGGTGATGGTCCGGATATGTGTAAAAAATGTGCCTCCGGTTATACACTGAAGGATGGAAAGTGTACTGGTAAGTAATAAAACAAAACTAAGAAATGTATCCATAAAATGGCTAAGATACTTCTCCTTTTGTATTTGTATCTTTTCACATTACGCCCCACTACACTCGTAGACGATTCGAATGAGAAACGTGATCAATATGTGAACATAACACGTTTTCTAACATATTTCGGTCTGTGTGTGGCCACTTGTGTTATATTTCAAAGTTCAACGCACATTGCCTACATTGTTGGAGCAGCTGTGGCAATTTATATTGCCGCTTCGGAATATTGGCTTAGTTCCACGCCAGCCGGTGCAAATAAGCCACAAATCGATACTAAACAATTGGAAGAAATGCTAATGAAATCATTGTAAGAGGAAGGCCAAAGAATAAGAATATAACTACAAGCAGCATCCATTCCATTTGTATCCATTTGTTTTGCCTAGAAAATTTATACACCATAATATTTTTAAACTACAATTAAGTGTTCAAACATAACTACTTTTTTTTTTTTTAATTTGCTAAAGCCGCAACGTAAAATGAAGCAAACATGATTAGAGAACAGAGCAGCATCAGCGTTTATTCTGTGAATAAATGAAAGCACAAAACCATGACCATAATGGAATGCCTTTTACAAGAAAAATATACGAGGGTATTCTTATTTACAATTTTAGATGCGTTTCGTAGTTTTTCTACTTTTCAGTATTTTAAGTTCCTTATTTAACTTATTTGTGCTATATATTAGCTGAAACATAACTTCACGTTTTTTGTGTGAGTAATAATTGATGGAAATATATGGCAACCCTCATTAAGCAACATGAATGCTGTTGTAACTTCTTTATTTTCTTTTGCATTCATTCTCTCGTTGAACTTCGTTGTGTAAAGAAGCATAAAATATTACTTTTAATTTCAATAAATCTTTGGATATATTTAAAGAATAAAAACAAAGTTTTATCAGGTTATGGGCCCAGTCCACCCAACACTGCGCAATTTGATTGAAAGTTAAAAGATAAAAGGAAAGGAGAGAAAAATGAGTGCACCCGTTCTTCAAATAGATAAATTGGATGAGAACAATTATGACCTATGGTCAATCCAGATGCGGAGTGTTCTAATCCATGCTGGTTTTTGGAAGATAGTAAATGGAACAATCAGGAAGGAAGGCGATGAAGCGGCAAAGGCCAAATGGGATGCCGAAGACGAAAAGGCCCTAGCATCCATTTTCCTGGGAGTTAAACCAACACAGTTGGCTTATATACGGAATTCTAAAACTTCAAATGAAGCTTGGAAAAAACTGGAAGAGGTCTATATGCCGAAAGGTCCCATACAAAAAGTTTCCTTATACAAAAGATTGTTAAATTTGAAGATGACGCCAAATGGTAATGTAGTGCAACATTTAAATGAGTTCTCGGAAGTATACGAGAAATTGCATGAAACCGGAATTGAGATTAAGGAGGAGCTTCTAACCATAATGCTTATGTCTAGCCTTCCCGAGGAATTCGACAATTTTGTGATCGCAATGGAAACCCGCGATGATCTTCCCACTTTGTCATCCCTAAGACAAAAACTGCTCGAGGAGGGAAAGAGAAGACAAGAGAAAGAGGAAGAGACAACCAATCAAAAGGCATTTGTCGCACAACCTGCAAACTCCAAAACGGGCAAGAAGAAGCAAAGTAGCAAAAAAGGTTTCAAAGGAAAATGTTTCAACTGTGGATTAACGGGACATTATGCGAATAAGTGCGAAAAGGAAAAGAATAAAACGCAGGCGATGACGATGTTAGCGGTGGCAGAGACAGCGGCGTTAGACAGCGAGAATTGGTATGTAGACAGCGGTGCGACGTCACATATGTGTAGAAAAAGAGAAATGTTTGTAAACTTCAAAGTACACAATGAAAGAATTACACTCGCTGGTGACAAATACATCAATGCCATTGGTAAAGGTGACGTGAACATATACACCAACGATAATGAAATTAGACTTGAAAATGTTTTATACTCTCCTGAGTTGCAAGCTAATTTCATATCTGTTAACAAAGCAGTTGACAGAGGTTTGACGGTGAATTTCAATGGGAAGAGAGCATCAGTTAAGAAACCAGATGGTGATATTGTATTGCAAGCAGAAAGAAAAGACAATATGTTTGTATTTAACAGCAACTCGTGTGAGAAATTGTTCGCTATGCATAACAACAATATGGTGTGGCACAATAGATATGGCCATCTAAATTTCAGGAGCCTGAATGACTTGTCAAGAAAATGTATGGTAAATGGCATGAGGATAAATGGAAATGTTATGGCAAATTGTGACACATGTATGGTCTGTAAAGTTCATGTATTACCATTCCCTAACCAGTCTCAGACGATTTCGAAGGAATTGTTGGAACTTGTTCATTCAGACGTGTGCGGTCCATTTAGAACTACTTCGGTAGGAGGATCGAAATATTTTGTAACATTTATCGACGACAAGTCCAGAAGAATATTTGTTTACTTTATGCGGTCGAAATCGGAAGTATTTGAAAAATTTAAGATATTTAAAGCTCAAGTTGAGAAGCAGACTGGCTGTAAGATAAAATCACTACGTTCGGACAATGGGCGGGAGTATATTAACTCAAATTTCGATTTATATCTTGAGAAAGAAGGCATTACACGGCAGTTGACGGTTCCCCACACACCACAACAAAACGGGGTAGCTGAGAGGGCCAACCGCACCCTCGTTGAAATGGCCAGATCGATGATGGTGTATGCTAATGTGAAACCAACTTTGTGGGCAGAGGCACTGAACACGGCTGTATATATTAGGAATAGGTGTCCTACCAAGCAGCTGGAAAACAAAACTCCTTATGAAGAATGGTGTGGAAGAAAGCCCAACGTGCAACATTTCAGGATCTTTGGGGCATGTGCTGTTGCCTTAGATAAGTCTGAGAATAAAGCTAAATTTGATGCTAAAGGCAGACGATACATAATGGTTGGTTACTCTTTAACATCTAAAGCGTACCGTCTGTATGATGTGGATAAAAATAAGGTCATCGAACGTCGGGATGTACTTTTTGACGAAAATTGTTTTGGCAAAAGCAGTGAGTCTACTTATCCTGAAGGATTTTCTCCGACCGATACACTTTTTGATTATCTACTGTCAGACCAAAGTAATTCTGATGGCAATGGACGTATCACAGGTGATAATTTACAACAAATCCAGATTAGACCTGACAGTGAAAATGATGATAATTCCGAGGATGATATGAGTGATTTTGAAGGCTTCACTGATGGGTTTGAAACAGCTGAAAATGATGGCGAGTCCAGTAATGAAGTTATATGCCATGCTGTCGACGAAAACATTCCTAATACGTTTGAACAGGCAATATCTGATGGTAATAAAGATAAATGGCTTAGGGCGATGGAAGATGAATATAATGCGCTTTGCAAGAACAAAACTTGGTCGGTGGTGGATCTTCCAAGGGGACAAAAAGCTATTCCATGTAAGTGGGTCTATGCCATAAAAAGGAATGTAAATGGTGAAATAGAGAGGTATAAAGCCCGCCTAGTAGCCAAAGGCTGTCACCAACGTCTTGGAATTGATTTCCATAAGATGTTTTCCCCTGTTGCTCGCTACTCAACAATCCGTATTTTATTGGTTTTGGCTGCGAAAGAAAAAATGTTTTTACATCAAATCGATGTCAGTAATGCATATTTAAACAGTGAACTCCAAGATGAAGTCTACATGCAACAGCCACAAAATTTTAAGGAAAATATTTCGCCAACCAAGGTTCTACGTCTCCATAAGGCTATTTATGGATTGAAACAAAGTGGAAGGGAATGGAATTCCAAATTAGATAACACATTGCGTAAGATGAATTTTAAACCATGCGATAACGAACCCTGTCTTTATAAAGGCATGAGGAGAAACAAACAAGTGTTGATCGCCGTTTACGTGGACGATATTATTATAGGATGCAAAGAAAAATTGATTGTTTTGGATATCAAAAAGGAATTGGCAAGTGAGTTCGATGTCAGTGATAAAGGTCAATTACGCCACTTTTTGGGTATGGAAATCGAAAGAGAAGGTGAGACGGGTATGATAAAATTAGGGCAAAGCCAATACATACGTGATCTATTACAACAATATGACATGGAAGGTTGTAAATCACTGCAAGTACCCTTGGAACCCGGTTATCAGGTAAATTGTAATGATAATGACGAACGTGTAGATCAAACCGCTTACCAATCCCTTGTCGGAGCTCTGATATATTTAGCCACTTCTACGAGACCTGACATCTTGCATTCAGTGTCAAAACTGGCTCAGAAAAATTCTGACCCTCGAAAAACTGATATGATTGGCCTTAAACATATTCTGAGATACTTGGCAGGATCGGTCGACAAGAAAATAATATATCAACCTAATGGAAGTAACATAGAAGGTTACGTGGATGCAGACTGGGGTGGTAACCGAGTGGACCGTAAATCATATACCGGATTTATATTTTTTATTGGTGGATGTCCCATATCATGGGAATCTAGAAAACAGATGTCAGTCGCACTTAGTAGCACAGAGGCTGAGTACGTGGCGTCATCCGAAGCAGCAAAAGAGGCGATATATTTAAAGCGTCTTATAAAAGAAATAGGCGCATTGAATAACGAATACGTAACTCTACACATAGACAATCAAGGGGCACTAAAATTGGCTGAAAATCCAGTTTACCACAAGCGTTCAAAGCACATAGACATAAGGTTTCATCACATCCGAGACTCAGTCCAGAAAAATGAAATAAAATTAAAATATTGTCCTTCGACTAATATGGTTGCTGATGTATTCACCAAAAATTTGTCTAAACAAAAACATTGTAATTTTATAGATTTAATGAATCTAAAATGATATCTTTGTGTAAATGTAAAGCATCATTCATGTTGAGGAGGAGTGATGGAAATATATGGCAACCCTCATTAAGCAACATGAATGCTGTTGTAACTTCTTTATTTTCTTTTGCATTCATTCTCTCGTTGAACTTCGTTGTGTAAAGAAGCATAAAATATTACTTTTAATTTCAATAAATCTTTGGATATATTTAAAGAATAAAAACAAAGTTTTATCAATAATTTTAGTAATTTCTCCTTTATAAAGTATTTTAGACATTTCCTCATTATAAAGTATTTTAGTCATTATTTCATTATGCTTGCAAAGTTTTTTTTTCTTCAAAATTTTGTATGATATAATGATTTATATTTTTGTATTAAGTATCAATAACATGATAAAACTAACAATTGCAACACTTGCCTGTACATCTGCATACATTCCATAGTTTAAATTATTTAATTTATTGCTGGAGGTATTTCGATAGGTTGCTTATGGAATAGTGACCACCAACAGGGCTTCAAGACTTTCATACACCCTACAGAACATTTTCGCCATAATATTCGGCTTATAATCTGATGCCATGGTCGATTAATAGGAGCGGAGAGCGACCATCGGTTGTTATGCTGGCTCACACCAGAAAACACAATCCGGCAGTTCAACACTTTCGGCAAAGCGAAGCAACTCTTTAGATCTTTTGAGTCTATTTTATTTCTGTTGCGGTGTAAGTTCTTGCACTTTTTGGAATTTCAATGGCTTTACCCCGAGCTCATTTTTCAATATTTGCCGAATGGAATATTGCGATATGTTCAGCGCATTAGTCATTTTTCGGCCACTGCGACCCGGGTTTCGATCAAGTCGCTTCTTTACTTTTCGAACCCTCTCTGTTTATGTTGCTGTTTTCTTCCGTCCACTTCCTTGACGACGGGCTACGCTACCGGTAACGAGCGTTGATACGACACAAAATATATATTCACATTTAAATGCTGGAGTGCTCTAACGATAACCACTTGTGGTTTTCCAGCCAAGTATTAAGGAATCACACTATCACGCTTGAATTCCATCACGAATAACTTTTTACCAAAATGCTTTGTACGCTTGTAAACAATATAATGAGCTGTCACTGGAATAATTTTAATAGCTGTCGGACGAGTGGCTTGGAAATGACAGCAGTCTGAAGCTGGTTGCAGTTTTTTCATCTCACCCTGTGTAGCAATTTTATTTGGTATTTGAGGTACAAAAGCCTTCTAGAGAGCCTACTAGAGTTAGAAAAATTAAATTTATTTAAAGTCGATACAGATTTGGATATAGTTCCCAAATTGTGACTACTGTATTCAAATATGGTTCATAATTGGTATGATCTACTTCACATAACTTCCCAATGCAAATTCTTTTGTTGTGTAGGGTATCATATAGTCGACCTTGCCCGACTTTTGACATTTCCTTACGGGTTTACTGTTATTGTCTTGGTATTAAATGTTCCCATATTAAATACAATTAGGGGGACAATTGGAGAGAGAGAGATGTCTGAAGAGATTGAAGATGGTAAAATATATTTAGCAGAGAATACTATGATTTTGGGAATGGCGAAAAATCCTCATCTGTTCCATTGCTTCTTGTCTGGGGATATTCTCCCCAGAAGTCATTTCAAAACAACTCCTATGGCAAATAATTTTTCTATACCAAAGTGGCGATATCAATCTCAATTTTATTAATTATTAATTTATTTATTATTAATTAATTTTTTTATATTTTATTTTTCTTTTTAATTTTTAACTTTGTTTTTTATTTTAATTTTTTGTGTTTATTTTATTGTTTGTTTTAGATGATTCTTTAGATGAGGAAGAAAACCACGATGATGATGACGACACATATACGCAAATAGAAGCTCCTCATCTTAAAGATGAATTATGATTAATTTAGACCATAAAGAGTATATACAAACAAATATGTACGTTTAGAATAGCACAATTAGACATTTGAAAATCACCTCTTGTCCAATCAACCAAGGAACCACTTCCATGATTATTTAAATTAAGCTACCATTAAGACAACAAAAGTACCATGCACTGTGTTAATTGTATAAGTTAGCCAAAAAGAAAATTAAACAACCTAAGTCAAAACAAGCAAAACCATAAAACATCGATACAACATGGATTTCAATTATTTATTATAATTTGTAATTCTGTTCAAATCATTTTTTTAAAAATAAATTTAGAAAAAAATTTACTTTTGTGTGTTTTCTTCTCTTTCCTGTTCTTGTGGCGCTTCATGCTCAGATCCACTATTTGGATCCTTAAACAATTGCAAATTATCTAATACCTTGGCATTTTCATCGAGAAAAGAACTGACAAAACTTCCAAATATTTCTTCTGCATCTTCTGGATGGGTAACAGCAGACAATCGTTCCTCATTTTCCTCTTCATCTTCCTGATAGGTGGCCAAGGTTTGATCAAATGTTTTTAATGTATTTTCCAATTCTTCTTTTAGAAATCTATCCACCACCTGTTCAATAATGTCACCATGTTTGTTGTGCTTTGAGGGTCTTTCATTGAGTATGAATTCATTAACGGTGGACTTGAGAGATGCCGCATCATCGGAATTATTTTCCGTATCCATGTTGTGATAACCACCCCATTGACTTTTGTGGCTACTCTTGATTTTATGTTCCTGCTGCACTTCACCATGATTATCGCCATATAATTCTTTGAGAGTAGTCCTCGTTAAATTCAATTGTCTCCAACCAAATCCCTTCTTTTCTCGCGTCTTATGATGCATTTTCTTTTTTGCCTCATTGCCGGGCAGCACAACAACACTTTCACGTCTCGATGACCAACCCGAGGATATAGACTGTCGAGAACGTTTTATTATTTGTCGACATTTATTCGTTATACCACCAACAATTTCCGAAACCAGGGCAATTGCACCAATCGCATAACCAATGCCCATCAATAAAAACATTCCCTCAGTATCGGCTGTGGTTAGTTGACGTTCTTCTTGTATGGTTTCTCGTAGGGGTGAAGAGGAACTGGCCTGTAGCAGTTTCCCAGCCGATGATCTTTGCATTGCCCATTTGACTTCACTTTCGATTTTATTGATGAGCCCCGCTTGTTGGGCTAGCAATATGAGGGAGTTTAGTTTTTGTTTATATACCGAGTTCTTGGGGAACATATAGCCAATATAGAACAGGGCAAAACATTCCTCGCTAAGATGGAGAGCTGAGCGGCGTGACATATTTCTGCAACAAAGTGGAAATTGGATAAATTGAAAAATACAAAATAATAATTTCGGAAATTATGCAAATATTAAATAAAATGCGAGGTAAGTGAAAAAATCATCAACAATCAACAAAAATTAATTTTTTTCAATAATTACGGGGAAATTCTAGCATATTATGAATGCAGAGCTAAAAATAGAAGGCACTTGTATCAGCCTTTTGAAATCTCACATCGCAAAGTAACCAAAATAGAGGGGAAAAATTCCCAACTCTTCAAGATTTTTTGAAAATTTCGTATTAAGATCTCTTAAAATACATCGATTTTAAAATATTTTTTTTTAGATTTTGATTTTAAAATATTCAAAATTAAAGAAAAACAAGTAAGCAAAGGCTACAGTCGAGCGGGGCCGACCGTTGAATACCCTACAACACTATAATAAACGATACAGTTAATATAGGCGAGATACTCGAAAGAATTCCACAAGATATTGTGACAAATAATAAAAGAAAACCATCAGGTTTCGTTCTCTAATTTCCGAATAATAGCAACTTTAACTAATTTGCACATTTCCAATTTATTGTTAGATGTTGCACGTAAATGGTCTTCCTAGATCTGGAACCAATATTTCCCAAAGACCCATAATCTCTCAGAAGTGGCAAAAGATTAACATTTATCATTGGTTTTTGACTGAACGCATCTATATGAAATACAGAGATTTGACTATATTCTTCAACGAAATCAGCGTTAACGAAATAGTCGGAAGTGCGTCTTTCATGTATATGTGAATTCTCCAAAAAGTCACCGGAATGGACATTTTCGTATTTTGTCTACAAAAGTTGGCAAACTATTTCACACATTGAATATTTTTAGATGGTCATTCGAAACTGCTTGGCTTTTGCAATGTCCGGTAACCCCCATTAAAATGTGCGTGAGGATCGGGCAATAATTACGACCTGCCGACAATTTTGCAGTTTTTTGGTCCATTTCAACCCCTAAATATGTGGCGATCATCTCCAAAAAGAGTAGGCTTTTATTCTGACCCTCATCTTATCCCCATGCAAAATTTCGTAAGGATCGGGCCATAAATGAGATCTGTATATGATATCCTGATACTCTCAGTTTAGTTACTACTCAGTTTTGTTAGCTGTAGAAATATTACCAAATGTTTAATTCAAAATGAAAATATGCCAAAAATATGACAAAATTGAAAAAATATGAGAAAATTTTACAAAATCAATATTTTCATCTTTAGAGAGATATTTTAATGCGATTTTTTTAGACGTTTTATGTTTCCTGCCAAGAAGCCATTCTGAATTAATGAGAACTGTCGAAATCAGTTCAGCCGTTCTCGACATATAAGAGATTTTTCAAGCATATATTCTTTGATAAACATATATATCGCACATATTTTGCTATATATCCGTTTTGTTGGATGTTAACATCAATGTAAAGATCAGAAGTAACCTTGTCATGGCTTTGTGATTTCGCCGGGATTTAAAATATTCGCGGTTTAATGAAAAATTTTGAATTTTTTCAACAGAAAAGATATGGTCTATTTTACCCGCTAAATATTATCCGATGACCACTCAAATGGGTAGGCTTCTTGCCAGCCCTGAACTCTAGCTACATGCGAAATTCCGCGTCGATTGGTCTATAATTGCGACCTGTAGAGCAAGTGCAAAATCAGGAGTTTTTTCAGTTTTTGGTCCATTTCAACCCCTAAATATTATGCGATCATCTCCAAAAGCAATAGAGTTATATTCTGACCCAAACCCCACCTCCATTTTAAATTTCGTGAAGATCGGACCATAATTGCGACCTGTAGAGTGATTACAAATTAACATGGACAGACGGACAGACGGACGGACGGACATACATAGCTAGATCGACTCAGCTCGGCGAGATAGGAAGATCCATATATACTTTCCTATGTGGGAAATCAATATTTCGTGGTGTTACATAAGATAGATTTTAACATATTTAGGATTTTAATACATTTAAGACTACAATACGAGGATCATTTTGCTCGAATAAGTTAATCCCCAAGCGAGTCAAATAAGGTCCTTTTTGAAATTATGATTTAAAACATCCTTTAAACGAGATCGTGGGATTCTACAGGGTGAGATGAAAAAACTTCAACCAACTTCAGACTGCTGTCATTTCTAAGCCATTATTCCAGAGCTCATTATATTATTTACAAGCGTACAAAAGCATTTTTGTGATAATTTTCCAGAAAAAAATTTTTCGTGATGGAATTCAAGCGTGATAGTGTGATTTTTTATATTTGGCTGGAAAACCACAAGTGGATATCGTTAGAGCACTCCAGCATTTAAATGCGAATAAATCTTTTGTGTCTCGTACCATCGCTCGTTACCGTGATACTGGTAGCGTAGCCTGACGTCAAGAAAGTGGGCGGAAGAATATAGCAACATTAGCTGAAATGGTTCGTAAAGTAATGAAGCGACTTGATCGAAACCCGCGTCGCAGTGGCCGAAAAATGGCTCGTGAGCTGAACATAAGACAATATTCCATTCGTCAAACATTGAAAAATGAGCTCGGAGTAAAGCCATTGAAATTCCAAAAAGTGCAAGAACTTAGACCGCAACAGAAAGAAAATAGACTCAAAAGAGTTAAGTTGGTTTTCTCCGATGAGAAAACATTCGTTGTCCAGCAGTTTGTAAACAAACCAAAGAGGTCAGCTGAAAATGTGCACCTTCGGTTGGTCATCAGAACTCAAGCGCCGGCCATGGTGATGGTGTGGGCCGCCATAACAATCGATGGTCACTCTCCGCTCGTATTAATCGACCATGGCATCAGAATAAATGCCGAATATTATTGCGAAAATATTCTGGAGGGTGTATTAAAGCCTTGGGCACGCAAAAATTTTGGCCGCAGACCTTAGCCATTCCAACAGGACCATCGGACTCAGCACGCGCCACCCAAGAATGGATACAAAATGAGGTTCCTAGCTTCATTTCCAGCCCACAATGGCCACCAAAATCCCCGGATACCAATCCGTTGGACTACTGTGTCTGTAGAATTTTGGAAAGCGAGGTTGGCAGTAAAATATACCAAAGTGTCGATCACCTCAAAATACCACAGAGAAACATTCGGACAGCGTGTGACGGTTTCATTGGCCGTCTGAAGGACATAATTCGTACCAAAGGTGATGAATTCGAACAAATCTGAACTTAATCTAAAATTTGACGCTATTTCCGACATTTTTTGCTTTCATTCATTAAAATTAAAAAAAATTGACAAATTATGGCGTTTGACTTCGTTGAAGTTTTTATCGCACCCTGTATATGATTTCTTCTGGGATCTATAGTAGAATTTTATGATGGATAATTTTGTCGAATATTTTGTGTGGCTACGATTTGGTTTTAAGATAAAACGATATTTTGAAAAAATAACTAAAATACCCCTTTGGTGACTCGCTCAATGGATAAAATTGTGAACCAATAATCCCTTGTATTGCTATCTGTAACATCGCCAAAGACACTATATATCAACGATCAACGGAAAATTTTAATGCGAAAATTTCAAATTTAATTTTAAAGTTAATTTACAATGCAAACTTTCAAATACTAGATTTAGCTCTAGTTTCACGATCTATTGGATTTTCCCTTTAATTATTTTTTATGTTGCACAGTGTTATAGTAACATGTAGTAATATACTTAGGGTACAACTCTAAGGTATTTTTAAAAATAGTTTTCATGGGGATCCTTGTTATTTTAAAAATGAAATTTCTGGACAAATATTTGTTATATAGGCCAATAGAGCTATAATCGTAATTTTTTAAGAATTTATTGAATCAAATTTTTTAAGAATTTATTGAATCAAAATCCTTGGCCTTTTAAGAACGTTTATTTGAGGATTTCAAAACCTTCTTACTTACTCATTTGAAAAATTCGCCTGTACTAAATATTCCAATTGGGCTCTGGAACCGAGGAAAGCATAATTCCAAAAGAAACTTTGGGTTACGTTACCAATACCCTCTTCCACCGAGGAGACATATTCCATTTTTTGGAACAAGCGAAATGTGGGTTCGTGGGAGGAATTTTGGAACCAATATTCCCAACCGCCATTATCTAAAGAAAAAATATTAACATTAAATTTTAATGTTCTTGCTGTCACACATGACCTCACCAATCGTTCCAACTCTAAAAAATAAGCCCAGCAAATCCATTACCGAATCCACCGTATCAGGAAAAGCGGGCAAGGTGACAAAAGCAATTATCGATCCCGTATAACATGCCGTAATTATAATCGTAAATATCCAATAGGAACCAATTAAAATTCTCGTCGATACTTTTTGTGTATTGGCCCAGGAATATTTGCCCGAAAATGTCAACGAATTCGTAAACATGCCGAAAACATACCAAAACATATTTTCAATTTCACCCCAATTGCCAAGGAGATGGCTCAACGTCAGGCGATCTGTAAAAACAATGGGAAATATGGCACCCAAGTAAATGCATATCAACGCCACCCAGACGGGCCATTGAAAGGGACCCATTATCGCCCGATATCTGTAAAAAGGAAACTCAATTATAATGGCTTTTTATAAAACGATTAAATCTCCCAAGTACTTTGGCAGGGCCTTAGAGGCCAGGGTTATGAATGCGGCACAGTCCTTGGAATGTCCCACCGAGAAATCCACACTTTCCAGCTTATCATTGGAAACATACATGCCGCCCATGCCAACATCAACCAAACGTTGGGCCACATTGTACTCCAGTAGTTCCCAGGGTCTGGAAGAAAAATATGTTTAACAGTAATGATATGTATAAAAGGTTTATCTTGATCTACCTTTCATTTCTTCCCGTATTGGGATTATCCAAAATATCAATTGAGAAATTCAATTTCTGTCCCATCATTTGCAGCAGACGATATTCAATGCCATCCCAATGCACCTGGGTCACCCCAGTAAAGTCCAGGGTTTTTATACGGTAAATATAAGGCGGTTGATTGACCGCCATCACTTGAAAACGATGTCCGGCAAAACCATTTTGAAACTTTTTGGGATAAAGATTTATGTGGGGTCGTGTGAGACCACCCCTTAGCCAACTGGTCAGTACCACCGGTTTGTTGGATCCCAGGCCATCGGCATATAATTTGTGGGTGTAGAGGACATATGGTCTTTCCTGGAAATACAAATTGGGGGAGAGGTAAAAACAATATTTTTTGAAGGGTTATCAGGTATGATTTCTTGTTTGTGAATAATACTCTTTTGGACTTATAACCCCGACTTATAACCGTGGACTTTTTAAGAATATATTTTCATGGACTATTGGACTTATAGCCCTGGACAATTACAGAGTATTTTTTCTTGTGGATTTTTATACAATATTTGTTCATGGATAATTGGACTTACAATCATAGATTTTTAAGATTGTTTTTTAAGGACTTTTCCAATTTTTTTCAATAATTACAGGGATAATCCAGCAGATTATGAAAGCAGAGCTAAAATAGAAGGCATGTGTATCGGCGTTTTGTTAGTTTGCACCAAAACAGATAGGGCAAGTTGCCCCTCATCCACATTTTTTGAAACTTTCGGATTGAGATTTCTTGGAGTCCTCTGATTTTGGGTATAGTGTCTTTGCAGATGAAAGCCTAACATTGCAGATTAAAACACGAGGACTGTTTTGTCGAAAATTGTTAGCCCTCAAGCGAGTCAACAAATGGATTTTTGGTCCTTTTTTAAATATAGTTAAAAGTCCCTTTTAACGGGATCACAGCAAGGCAAAATATTCTTTAAATTACTTGCCGTAAAATCTACTATAGGTCCCAGAAGACAACAAATGTCTAAATTTTACCCAAACGCCAATAATTCTTTATAATAAAACCAGTGAGGAAAGGTCAAAAGTCGGGCGGGACGACAGTATGATACCCTACACAACTATTCATATTTAGTAGAACTCCCGTAACAAAATAATTTATTTGAAGTAGTTCCACAAAATAGAAACGTACATCCTGAAATTCACTCCAATTGATATTAGCCATTATTTGCACAATAAACCTAAATCGGATTATGGATATGTAAGGGAGCTATATCCTAATCTTAGCAGTTCTCGATTAAAATTTGGCAAAGGTATTTCCGAGCTCTATAAGATATCTTGTACCAAATGTAACTGTTGTGGAATGCTTATTACGCATCTGAGGGACTTAAACATCCAATTTGGATGAAAAATATATGTGGGAGCTATAGCAATATCTGAACCGATTTTCTCCAAACATGATGTACTTACTTCTAGACTGAATTCGGTCGGATTACCAAAATTTACGTCATTAGGACTGATATTGGCCATTAGGCGCACAATTAATCCGAAATCGGTTTGACGATATATGTGGGATCTATATCCAAATCTGAACCGATCTTGATAAAATTTGGTAGAGGTATTTCTGGGCTGTATCTGATATGTTGTACCAAATAGTATTCTTTTGGAGTGCATATTACGAATGTGAGGGACTTATACACCAAATCCGATGAAACATGTATATGGGAGATATAGCTATATCTAAACCGATTTCCACCAAATTCAATGTACTTGCTTCTAGACTGAATTCGGTCGGATGCGCCAAAATTCAGGTCATTTGGACTTATATTGTGCATTTGGTGCACAATTAACCCGAAATCGGTTGAATATATTTGAGAGCTATATCTAAATCCGATCCGATTATAACCAATTTCAATTTCTTTAGCCAATGGTTCAATAAATCACATATTCACAACAGATATTGTGTTTGTAAACATATTGGGATATGCAAGTTTGAAAAGAATCGAATGTTCATGTATCCAAATTTTTGACACATTGTGAGAGAGGTTCCAGTAGTTGTTTAATCGATTCCATTTTCATACAAGGTAGGCGAGATATTGGGATTTTCGAAATTTGAACATAATCGGATTCTTCTTTCAAATTTTATAAGCGTTTCCTTTATTCAAAATTTTGACCCTTTGTGACCGGAATGACTGGTCCGATCTAGCCCATCTTCATGTCAGACCTACGGCTGTTAAAAATATTGAGATATGCGAAATGTTAAGACAATCGAATTCTTCTTTCACATTATATAAGCGTTGCGATTATTCAAAAATTTGACCCTTTGTAGGGGAGGTACCAGACAGAGTTTTACCGATATTGTCAATTTTTGCACCTGGCCTAGCACAAAATTTAACGATCCTTTCTTGTTCTATGAGATAAATTATTTTCAATGACATGTTTGACTTTTTGTGGGGAAGTGGACCAATGTTGATCATCTCCGAGATCGATCTAAGTCTGAAATTAATATTACGATGTACCAAGTTTGGACCAAATTGGATACTCCTTTCGAGAGTTATCGTCCGCACCAGCCAGACAGACAGACAGACGGATGTCCTGAAAAGGATTTGGTCCAAAGAAACCTAGGATCTAAAACTGTTATTTCGATGAGGCAAGTTTTTGCCGTATCTTTTTTTTGAGATGACGCCTAAAAGCAGCTAAAATTTTTTTTAGACAGAGGGTGTCAAAAAATCTCAGAATAACCCATTCATATAGGTGCAATAGTTTTTAAGGAAATTACATCCGAAATTTATGCACTATAAGTGACAATTTTGTGGCTACGTTTTTATTTATTAGTATTTCATTTTTTGGAGGATGTGTCAAAGTAAGAAATATTCTGGATTCAATTTCAAAGCAATGAAATCCGTATATCAAGAAAATATTTGTAGCACCCTTCCATAAAAAAAAAAAAAAAAAAAAAAAAAACTCGGAAAGTATTCCTTAATTTTTTTTTTGATAAATTTTACCTCTGACTTTTTTCGACATAAAATTTTGTTTTAGGCATAAAATGTCAAAAGAAGAAATATTCTACACCGAATTTTATTATAAATCTCGGAAGAAATCATACATCTAGGTACAATAGATTTTAAGAAAATTACATTCGAAATGTGTTTACTCAAGTGATTATTATATTTTTGCTTTTTGTGCTTTTGATGTAACTCGTTTCCAATACAAGTTAAAATCTACCTTTATTCTTCAGTTCTTTGTGAAAAATGTCAAAGGAGGAATTATTCAGGAATAATTTTTCTCAAATTTGGTAAAAATTGCTTAATATATGGCTATATATAGCTCCTATATATATGTTTCATCCAAGTTGGTTTTAAGTCCCCAACTTTCGTAATAAGCAATTAACAACCATGATATAAGGTACAAGATATCTCATACGGCGCAGAAATACCTATGTCAAATTTTATCAAGATCGGTTTAGTTTTGGATATAGCTCCCATAAATATCTTCATCCAATTACTTAGGACTAAAGATCGAGGATTTTTAAGAACTATTTTTATGGACCATTGGGCATTGGAATAATTTACCTTATTCGGATCCGCCGTCAGTGATTCACCCACTACTAACAAATTCACAATATTTGATGACTTTTCCGATGAGAGGAAATCCTTTAATTTCCATTGTGTTGAACGTGATATGACCAAAACTCTATTCTCCGTTTGAGGGCCAATAATGCTGCGGGTCATCAGGGGATCGGATAAAAATAAAATATAACTTTGACAATTCGAATCAATGGAGTTCTTAAGACGTCTATTGTGGGCCACATAACGACTATTTATTTCTCCATGATAGTAGGTGAAGGGAAACGTTTTAAACAACAACTCCAGGAGTAAACTTTCCGATTTTTCCACAAAACTGTCATAATAGATAATGGGTGGACATTTACTTAAATATTCGGTGGCAATTTTGTTGACCAACGAAACCAGAGATGCAGTTTGGCGATTATCCAAATTCAAATGAAATTTCGTTGCCAACACATCGCGACGAGGTTTGGGTTTTCCACGAAAAATCGGCTCAACACGACGCGGTTTACGGTTATGCAAAGCTTGGGCCTCCCGACTTTCACACGACTGATAGATATCGGTATTGAATTGATAACGTTTAATTATTTTTTCACTCATACAATTCACTGGCGACTCATCTTCGGTTTGCAATAATTCACTTTGATTCAAAGACCGGGCACCATTTATTAAAATTATTATGAGAATTAAATTAGTCGTTTTTAAGATTTTACACATTTTGAACAATTTCTTGTTGGGATGAACAAATTTGAAGTGACAATGTTACACCTTTTCCAATTTAAAGCAGGTGTTAACTTGACAAATGCCTTTCGTGTTTTGACACTGCGATATTAATCTGCAGTCGTATTTATGGCAGCCATTCGATAGCATTGTCTGTGGCCAATTGACAGTGTTTTCAGTGGCTTCGATACAGGACTGTAAGTTTGGAAAGGATACAAAAGCTCTGTTTGTAATATCCCTAAATATTCGTCGTAGACCTTATAAAGTATATATATTCAGAATCAGCATAAAATTCTAAGTCGATTTAACGATGCCCGTGTGTCTGTCTGTTTAAATCACGATATAGCCCATATTATTTGATGCACACCGTCAAAATTTAGGAGAATTTGTATTGATATTGAAAATGAGATATATCGGTCCACGTTTCGGTATAGTCTCCATATAACGGTACCTCCCGATATTCGGCATTTTGATGATTTTTACCACATTTTTTTACAGATTTGTTTAAAAATTGGCATTTGTAGGTCATAATGGGTTCGTGTCGAAACATTGTATGTCTAGGTCCACGTTTTGGCATAGCCCCCATATAACGGTACATCTTGATATTCGGTATTTTGATGATTTTTACCAAACTTTTTTTTTATGGATTTGTCAAAAAATTTGTATTTGTTGGTCATAATGGGTTCTAGCTCCGTTGGAAAAAATTGTTTTTATAGGTCCACGTTTTGCTGTAGCCCCCCTATAACGGTACCTCCCGATATTCGGTATTTTGATGATTTTCGGCACATTTTTTCACGGGTTCGTATACAAATTGGTATAAGTTGTTCGCAATGGGTTCTAGCTCCGGTGGCAAAACATTGTATGTATGGGCCCACTTTTTTGTATAGCGGTACCTTCCGATATTCAGTATTTTGATGATTTTTTCCACATTTTCTCACGAATTTGTCTAAAAATTGGTATTTGTGGGTCATAATGGCTAGGACCCATTCCTTTACCCAAAGGCGCAGGGAACTTAATTTTTTTGGATATAGCAAAGAGCGAAGAGAGTGTTTCGTTATGCTACTTTCAGGCGTTAACTCAAAAAGGCCTTTTTTTGTTATTGGGAACATTGTTATATAAAAGGTGAGATAAAAAAAGCTGCAACAAATTCAAAAGCCATATTTTTCATTTATTTTTTTTAATTTTATCGAATGAAAGCAAAAAATGTTGGAAATAGCATCAAATCTAAGCTTAGGTTTGTTCGAATTGGCCACCTTTGGCACAAGTTATGGCCTTCAAACGTCCAATGAAACCGTAACACACTGCCCAAATGTTGCTCTGCTGTATTTTGACCCATTCCCGGCAAAGCGCTTGCTTCAGGCGATCGACACTTTCGTATTTTTTAGTGACAACCTTACTTTAAAAAATTCTCCAGACAAAATAGTCCAACGGATTGGTATCCGGATATTTTGGTGGCCATTGCACTTTTTGCACTTTTTGGAATTTCAATGGCTTTATCCCGAGCTGATTTCTCAATATTTGCCGAATGGTATATTGCGATATGTTCAGCTCACATCCCATTTTTCGGCCACTGCGACGCGGGTTTCGATCAAGTCGCTTCTTTACTTTTCGAAACGTTTCTGCCGATGTTGCTGTTTTCTTCCGTCCGCTTCCTTGACGTCGGGCTATGCTACCAGTATCACAGCAACGAGCGATGGTACGAGACGCAAAAGATTTATTCATATTTAAATGCTGGAGTGTTCTAACGATAGCCACTTGTGGTTTTCCAGCCAAATATAAAGAAATCACACTCTCACGCTTGAATTCAATCACGAAAAACTTTTTTTCTGGAAAATTCTCACTAAAATGCTTTTGTACGCTTATAAACAATGTTATGAGCTGTCACTGGAATAATTTTAACAGTTGTCGGACGAGTGGCTTAATAATGACAGCAGTCTGAATTTGGTTGCAGTTTTTTAATCTCACCCTGTATATGTATGATTATGAGACATCGATTTCAACCAATTTAACCCAAGTTACGTGTGGATATAACTTAAACCAATGTTTATTATATAACGACAGATTAAAAAAGTTTCCTTTTATTAATAAATTTTTCGGAACCGAAATTTTTCCTCTACCAAAACACTGTAAACACTCCACCACATCCCTCCCTTTTGTGTGGATATCCACCCGAGTTGTTATTGTAAAACATGATAGTTTATGATTGAATTTGTAGTATATGTTACCAGTGAGTGGGTACGTTTGTTTGTGTGTCACATCCCGCACACATGCCATAGGTCACCACCTCTATAAAAATTAATTTGATTTAATTCGGTTAATAATTTTCCAATTCATTTCTTAGACCCACTCATGCGGCAATAGTTTGTTGCACCTGTTTTTAGGTCTATGGATTTTTGAATGGCGAAATCAAAAGGGTATTTATATCGAACAACGCAACAGAATCCAAAATATAATTAGTTAATAAGAATAAAAATAAGTACCTTAAAGTATACAATGACATTCAGGGTCTATTTAAAGAACTGGAGCCAAATTCTGGCATTCAACATTGAAGAGTTTTGATTGAAATTAATTTTTGTATTCTTATTTTAGATTGATAACCAGTAAAGAAAGATCAAACGTCAGTTGGGGCCGATTATATGATACCCAACACCATTATGCATATTTAGTAAAGCTACCCGTAACAAAGTTTATATTGGGAATGTATGTAAAGTAGATCATACCAACCTTGCTTTTCGTGCCAACCTTGCTTTCCAAAATACTCCAGGCACAATAGTCCAACGGATTTGGTATACGGAGATTTGGTGGCCATTGTGCGCTGGAACTGAAGCTAGAAATCTCATTTTGTAACCATTATTGGGTGGCTGAGTGCGGTGGTGCTGAGTCCTCTTGGAATGTCTAAGGTCTGCGGTCAAAATGTTTGCGTGACCAAGGCTTTAATACACCCTCCAGAATATTTTCGCGATAATATTCGTCATTTATTCTTATTCCACAATCGAGCGGAGGGCGACCATCGGCTGTTATGGCGGCCCACACCATCACCATGGCCGGAGCTTGAGTTCTGGTGGCCAACCGAAGGGGCACATTTTCAGTTGACCTCTTTGGCAAGTAAACACGATCATGTTGTCCGGCGTTTAGGTAAGAGTTAGTCTTTTGATGTCTTCTAAGAACTGTAGCACAATTTTATGACAAATAAATTTTTTTTGACGGGACCGTACCCGTTAAAAGGGAGTTTTTTTTAAATATTTTGAAAAAAAAAATAGACCAAAAAGGACCTTTGACAAGCTTGAGGGCTATAATTTTTAAACAAAATAATCCTCGTATTTTTATCAGTATTGCTAAAACATATTAAATGCTTAAAATTTGAGGACTCCAAGAAATCTAATTAGAAAAAACATGTAGAAGAAGGGGGATTGACCGTTTTGCGATGCAAACTTCTAAAAAGCTGATTTATGTGTTACAGAGTGTAATTTTGGGGTTTTCTTAAAAATGTTCTCTTGAACATTCCATTAATAACTCGATTCGTTTGGGAGTTTTTTTTTTGCTATACTCGGAGACCTTTAGGATATCATATGCACAGGAATATCCAAAGAAAAAAAATGAAATACAATTTTTATATTTTTTTTATAATTTATTTTATTTTTCTTAAAAGTTTCCATTAGAGTATTATCTAAGACAACGTGCATTAAATTTAAGCAGATTACTTTTGTTCTATAATTTTACGGCAAATTTTGTATTTATAAAACTATATTCACTCGTTTTATAAGTGGCTTTACAGTAGTTAAATAATATCTAATTGAAATTCAACTAAAATCTAAATTTTTCAAAAAATATTTATAAAATTTCAATTTGTTAAAATTGGTATATGTTTTTGTGTGGTTTATTTTATTCTATATTTAGAACTTATCTATAATGTAATTTCTAGTACAAGTATTTAAATATTTCCCAAAATATTTTTAATACTTTCGTTTGTTATTATCAAATGTGTAAAAATTTTGGGTATTAAGGAGAAAGGGTAGGGAACAGTTGAATTATTAAAAAAGGTAGTCATTTCAAACAAGCATATCCATCTTGTCAAATTCTACTGAATAGAAAACAGGTTCCCATCTCTGATTTGTGTATGAATTCATAAATATACATTTTGACATTGAGATGTTGTCAAATGAATAATTTTGAAAAAAAAAAAATAATTTTACGATTGGTATTTTTGTTTAAAAAGGGCAAAAAATTGTAGATTGCTAACTTAAATATAGCTAGTAGTTGAATAAATTAGGGCCATAAACAAATTTTGATTCCCAGAATCTCCGCAAAAATTGTGGAAAATAAATATTTAGGATCTGAAGAGAAATAAGCCATTAAAAATAATTTCTACGAATCCAAATAAGAGTATTTAATTAAACGTCTTGAAAACTTTAGAACAATCATTTTAACCAATGGCTTACACAATAGAATATTTGTATAACCTTTCTCATATTCTTTGCATTTAATTTGTAATTACCGAAATAGTAATCCAACTAACATTTTATTCCGAATTCGACCCGAATCTCTGCTGATGAATTTTCCATCCTGATTCCGAGTTTCTTTCGATTTCGGGCTGGTATTTCAGTGTTTTTTATGGATCAAAACTAGTCAAAGGTTTTCTAAGAACAAAAGATGTTAAAAAGGTATTTTAGAAGAAAAGTCTTTTCAAGTTATCTCATTGGCCTGGAGCAATTTAACATTTGGGGTCCTTAGAGAATAGAAGTTCCCTTTGAAAAAAAAAAAAAAAATGTCAAATATCTTAAAGTTTTATGAATAAAAACAGGAAATTTTAGAAAGAAGCATTAAATGCAATATTTATATTCTTAATATTGGGATTTGGGAATCTACAAAGATCATGAAATTTCGAATTTCACCTAATTCGGTTAAAAGATGTTTTAAAGCCTTATAAAAAAGAAATAAAATCGAGTAAGGTCGTTTGAAAATAATCATAAACAGATCGATAAGAAAATGTGGCTGGGAATATCAAAATATTTGAATATGCCGTTATATGGACGAATCAGACATATTGTTGGAAAATTTAGCCAAAATTAAAAAATGGGGGTTCCATTAAGTGGAGGCTATTTCAAAACATGTTTTTTTCCGAAGGAAATGACCAACCAATCAGGATTAAAGAACATCAAACATCATGATACCCTACACCAATTTGCATATTTCGTAGAGATACCCATTACAAATTATGATCGTTTATGATAATTTTTGAATGCGTAATATGGCTTTAAAGCAGTAATAATTTAAAGTTGAAAGGAGATAATATATGGAAGTATATCCCCCTCTTAATCGATTTTTGACTGAACCGATATTCATCAGAATCCATCTTAATTAAGCTGATATAGAACTTTTTAGGCGCTCTAAACGTAAAATCGGATAAAGATATCCAATCCTGAACCGATCTCTATATAAATTAGCAGAGGTATTTCTATGCTGTATCTGATAGCTGGAACAAAATATCGTTGTTGTGGAAGGAATTTTACGGTTGCGAGGGAATTAAATACAAAATCGGATGAAACATATATATGGGAGCTATACCTATATCCGAACAAATTTTCACAAAATTTATTTGACATATTTGCTTCTAGACTCAATTTGGTCGCATGTGCAGAAAAATGTGAAATTTGGAAGAATATTTAACATGTGGCGCCCAATAAAATTAAAATCGGACAAAGATATAACAAAATGTGGATCAATTATCACCAATTTCATTTGGTAAAACATTAGCAGGCACGGTCATACGTCTCCAATACATTCTACAGTAATGTTGAGGCAAATTCAACATACGATTAGTCTACTGAAACGACACTGATTTTTACGCGTTTTGATGATATGTGTACTTCATGTGGTCTAGACGAATATATCGATATGTTATATTGAAAAATAACCAACTGATCCGAAGTGAGGATAGAGTCTTCCTTATATTTATATGGAAGAGTAGAATCGACCAAAAATGGATTATGGATATCGACTTTGTGACTTCCGATATAAATAAGAACTTCCAATAAATCTATGAATTTCCGAAGTTTCACTAACAAAATTAGTTTATTCGAATATCGAGTTCGAAGAGTAAACCCTTAAATACTTTTCCAGACATATAAAACGCTTATCAAAAACGTTATATATCTAAATAAATAATTTGATTTTTTACAGAAGAGAAGAAAGAAAATTTTGTCGTATAATTGATCAGATGTCTCGTTTTTTGGATATATTGCCGAAATCTTGGGTTAGTTCGTCTAATCCTCGATGAATTGATTGGGTAACAAAGTTTTCTATATCCATTACCAAGAAATTTGTAGAACACCCTATGAGATGTACGATAGGAGCATATGATCACATCTTCGTGAACCTATAAGACACGCTCAAAATATTTTCATTTCATCTAAAACAAAAGCGATCAATCTCTGACTATTTTAATCCATTTATATTGAGCTTTCATTAAAGAAAATATATCCTGAATACGACATCGATTCGAAAATAATTGTTGGCAAGGAAATAGAAAAAACTTGAGAATGAAAAATTTGAAAATTCGAATTTTTATTAATAATTTTATATTTTATTTGGAAAATTTGAGAATTTTAAATATACAAATAATATTTTAACAAGTGTGGAAGCAGTTAAGTAAGAATGTTTGGAAAGTAGGTTATGTAAAAATATGTCTATGAGTTCCGAAATTCCAGTAAACAATACAAATTTCCCAAACATCGGAAGCAGAAAAATATTGACCGATATATACATTTTGCTGGTAGAACCATTTACGAAATCCAAATACCAAATTATAAGTAATTATTATGTAGACAATGTTCTGCCACAGTAGATAGAACCAATTATGAACTGTAATGACTGAATTTGAAGCCATTCCACTAGAAATTCCGTTTGTAACTCATCGAAATAATATTTTTAGACATAACAAAGTATAAATATTCTTGATCAGCTTAAAATTCTAAAATCCATCCATCTGTGCCTCCGTTATAATCACGATAGAGTCAAAACAAATATGATAGGATGCTAAAATTCGGCATATAACAGTCTTTTGTTTTTAGGCAGGTCAAGTTTGAAGATAGGCTATATCGGTCTGATGATTTTAGCTACATTTGGAATTGTCTGAAAATTCACAAAAGGAGTCCCTTCTGAGTACTTTACCCCCTGGAAGAGTATTGTCTATGTACGTTCACGATATCGTATAACCCCTATAAAGCAGTACCTCCCTATATTCAGTATTTTGATGGTTTTAGCTAAATTTTTTTCGATGGAATTGTCTAAAAGAAATATCTATATAGATCTACGATATAGCCCAAATACATACGATATTCGATATTTTTGGATGATTTTAGGGTCATTATTCACCGGAGTTGTTTGAAATTTCATATTTAGAATTCGTAACGGGTACTACAGCCTATGACAAAAAATTGCGCATGAAGACCAACATCTTCCTATAGCCTCAATATAACGGTACCTCCCAATATTCACTATTTTGATGATTTTAGCGACATTATTAACCGATATTGTTTAAAATTTGTATTGTCTATGCAGGTTCAGGTTTTCGTCTAGCCCCGATGTAACGGTACCTCTCTATATTCGATATTTTGATGATTTTAGCTAGATTTTTTTCAAGATTTGTTTTTCAATTTTCTTTTTTTTTGAATATTGTAATGGCTTATGACAAAAGTTGCCTATGCAGATCGACGTCTTCGTATAGACAACAATATAATTCTTTTTATTCGGTATTTTTAAGATTTTAACAGCATTTTTAACGTATTTGATTTTCTCGACAATTTCCAAATTTGTTCCAAATGGTGGAGGGCATTAAAAGTTCGGCCCGGCCGAATTTACAGTTTTTTTAATTGTTTAATATTATTCTTATCTTATACTTTAAACCTTTTCTTACTGGTTTTCTGTTGCCGTACTCTCTGGGTAAATCAGTTCTCTCAGAGAAGGGGCTGTCAAAATTGCTCTCTCGAATCGATCTCTTAGGTAACCAATGTTAGTATTGAAATTTAAAAATTGTTTTTTCGCCCATATGAATCGCTCTATATTGCCAAATTATATTGAAATCGGTTCAGATTTGGATGTAGCTCCCATATATATTTTCGTCTGATTTCATGCATTCGATACACCAAACAGGTTTTGTATGTCAAATTTATATGAAGTTTGGTTTAGTCACACATAAATAATAAAATATTTGTAGAATTTGACATCGATCCGACCATAATTTTAGGCAAGCACAATTTGAGAATTACAATATATTTTTGGAGTATTTATTATTTTCTTGTTAATTTTGAAAACTTTCAATTTTGAAACAATATTATGAAAGGGAAATGAAGTATTAAAAAATCCAGAAAAGGAAATTTTTTCGATTGAATAGTTGAATTTAAAAGTAAAAGTGCCAGTGAAGTGAAATTGGAAAATGTGTGAAGATTTTGGAATATACCCAGTTAATTTGTTATCTTTCGCGTTAGTTTATCACATATGTTATACTCTGTTTTTTTTGTATGACAACTTAAATATACTACATGTGTTTTTGTTTCTTGATTTTTTTATTTAATTTTTATGTTTTATTTTACTTCATTATCATTTAAAACTTCTTAATAATACACATAATTATAATACACTCGAAAAATAAAAATACATACAGATATAAATTCAATATTTTACAAGGATTTTTGAGGATATGGATTTTGTTTGATTTTTTTTAATTTTGTCTAAAATTTATTTCTTGCTAATTAAATGGTGAGTGGTAGTATGTGTGGATATGTGTTTGTGTGTGGGTTTTTATGCATTCATTTATAAAAAACAAATTAAAACATTGTGTATATTTTGTTTAATACTAATATTGCGCTTAAATGTGGCCATATTTTTGTTTGGAGATTCCATTACCTAAGAAGGTAGGTAAAGAAATTACACACAAAAAATTATTTGAATTTGTTTTTTTTTTGTTTTAACTAAATATTTAATATACATGCTACAGGTTTTGATGTTGTTGTTTTCATTTTTATTATTTCTATTTATTTTTTTATATATAAAATAACAAATTTTGAATAAATAATTTTGAAGGACATTTTGTTCTCACATTTTATTTTTTTTTTTTTTTAATAAATTCCAAAATAGAAACAATAAACATAATAAATTAAATTAACAAACAAAAAATAGTGTTTAAAAATAAAAATTTCAATTTTTTTCTAATTTCATTTCAAAACTTTACAAATAAAATCGCTTAAAAAAATTTAGTTACAATGAAAATTTTACTAACGAAAAATTTCTTAACTAAAGTTTTTTGTTGTTGTTGTTCCTTATAACTTAATTTTTATTTTAGGTGATAATGGATAAGGGTGGTGGGGGCCAGAAGGAGTAGTGTGGGCGTGAGAGTATTATTTGTAAGGATGCATCAATGTTGTTGTCTGCTAGTTGTTGTAGTTTTTCTTCTCTTAAATTAAGTAAAACAAAATGATGAAAATTGGGGGGAAAATGTTGCTTCGTGTGGAAAACGAGTGAATATGTTTTTTATGTTCCATTTTTTTGTTGTAAATTTCGTCCTTGATTATTTGTGCCTTTGTTGTTGTTAATTTTGAAGGTTTGTTGTTGTTGTGGTTTTTGTATCGCTTTTATTTAATCCTAGCAAAATTTATGACAAATTACGCTGTCGAATCTTCAATATCGTTGTCAATGCGCGATGATCGTATGCCTGTCTTGCCAGTCCATGGATAGATGTCAGGACATGGCTGGCATGTCTTCATGTAACGCACACCAGACTTGTGCCAGAGATTGCAGACTTTGGGGTTATTGCAACGTTTGGGGCGATCCTGGAAGAATATATTCAAAATTAAAAATCAAAAAATTTTCAAAAAATTCAGAATTTTTTTTAAAAATTATTAAACCTTCCACCATAGTATGGAGGGTATATTAATTTTGTCATTCCGTTTATAACACTTGGATATACATATTTTAGACCCCACAAGGTATATATATTCTTGATCAGCATAAAATGTCCGTCCGTCTGTGGAAATCACTCTAGCTTCCAAACGAATTGAAGTAGATTGATAAAATTTTACTCAAATATATTTTGTCTGCAGGACTTTTAGTATTGAAAATGGGGTCCACGTTTTGGTATAGCCCCCATATAAAGATACCTCCCGATATTCGGTATTTTGATGATTTTAGCTACAATATTTATCGGAATTGTTTCAAATTTGGTATTTGAAGTTCGTAAAGGATGCTACAGCCTAAGACAGAAAATTGTCTTTGCAGATCCACATTTTGGTATAGCTTACATATAACTGTACCTACCGATATTCGGTATTTTGATGATTTTAGCGACATTATTCACCGGAGTTGTTTAAAATTTGGTATTTGAAGTTCGTAATGGATACTACAGCCTAAGACAGAAAATTGTCTGTGCAGGTCCACGTCTTCGTATAGCCCCCATATAACGGTACCTCCCGATATTCGGTATTTTGATGATTTTAGCGACATTACTCACCGGAAATGTTTCAAATTTGGTATTTGAAGTTCGTAATGGATAATACAGCCTACGACAGAAAATTGTCTGTGCATGTTCGCATTTTGGTATAGGACCCATGTAACGGTACCTACCGATATTCGGTATTTTGATGATTTTAACGACATTATTCACCAGAATTGTTTCAAATTTGGTATTTGAAGTTCGTAATGGATACTACAGTCTAAGACAGAAAATTGTCTGTGCAGATCCACGTCTTCATATAGCCCCTGTATAACGGTACCTCCCGATATTCGGTATTTTGATGATTTTAACGACACTATTCACCGGAATTGTTTCAAATTTGGTATTTGAAGTTCGTAATGGATACTACAGTCTAAGACAGAAAATTGTCTGCGCAGGTCCTCATTTTGGCATAGCCCCCTCCCTATATTCGGTATTTTGTTGATATTAGCGGACCGGAATTGTTTCAAATTTGGTATTTGAAGTTCTTAATGGATGTTACAGCCTATGACAGGAGATTGTCCAGGTCCAGGTCTTCGTATAGCCCCCATATAAGTACTTCCGATATTCGGTATTTTTATGATTTTAGCGACATTATTCACCGGAATTGTTTCAAATTGGATTTTTGAAGTTCGTAGTGGATACTACAGCCTAAGACAGAAAATTGTCCGTGCAGGTCCACGCCCCCCATATAACAGTACCTCCCGATATTTTGATGATTTTTTTTCAAGTTTCGCATTTGAATATTGTAATGGCTTATGACAAAAATTACCTATGCAGGTCCATATCGTCGTATAGACCCTAGAATTTTTAACGGATTTTATTGTTTTTTAGGAATTTCCCAATTCGTTCCAAATGGTGAAGGGTATTCAAAGTTCGGCCCGGCCGAAGTTACAGCTTATTTACTTGTATTTTTTTTTTAAGATTTTTACATACCGAATAATCACATTGGAATGGCTGGAATGAATTAATTCGCGATAAAGGTGTGGGATCTCTCACCCACTGCAGGGCCTGCCAGTTGGTAACTATCCACACATCATTCATGGCATTGATGGTGTCCAAGAACTTGATGAAGCCTTCTTTATGATGAGGTTGGGTAAACCAGGCAGCATGGTAGAACAAACCAAATGGAGCTCTGGGGAAATTAAATTAATATAAATAAATAGATAAAAAATTTTGCCTTCTCCAAAAAATCCTCCCTCTCCTTCCCCACTCACCTGTTTGTTGTGTAATGTCTTTCAAAATTCTTCATGATCATCTTGGTTACACCCTCAGCATCAGATGGATTCGAGCAGGCATCACCCATCGAACAACGTCCACCATTCAAATCTTGCCACATCACCATTGGCACTTGCCATACACCGGGATAACTCTTTGTGGGACAGGGGGGAATCATACAGTCATGGAATATCTTATAGTCCAATGTATATGGCCATGAGGGTGGACGATTTTCATAGACAGGCATCGATGAGTCATAGGTGAAATTGGAGTCGTAGAGCATTTTAAACATTTTATTGCCACCAACGGACAAGAAGGGAGCACGCATGCCACGAACATCGGAAAGTTTGACACCACCATAGGCGGCAAGAATTTCACGTTGGCCAGCTACCTCACGGGTCCATTTCTTCTGGGAGAATTGTTCACCAAAACTGTGACTGTTGTTTGGAATGATTTTTTGTGGGTGGGTGGAAGAGAAATTTCGAAATTAGTTTGATTGTTTTGCAAAGGGAGTGGTTTGGTTAATATTAGTAGAGTGAGTTTAATGTAGAAGGTGCGATTTTTTATTTCGTGTATGGTGCAGAGGTGTAAGGCTATATTACAGTGTATGTGTGTGGGAGTAGATGTGTTAGATTGTTACATAAAATTGAATGTTAAATATTTGGAGGTTAGGGACGACACAAATATTGTCAGCTGAGCTATCTTCGATACTGAACTACTATATCCTTTGGATAAAAGGAAAAACTATCCACTTATCCAAAAACGTAGATAATCTTATCCGAAAAAGTACATTATCCACGTTGTTATTCAAGTTGCTGAATACATTTGTCCACGTTTTTGGATACAATTATCCACGTCGTTGGATAAAATTATCCGAGTTAATGAATAAAACTATCCACGTTGGTGGATAAAATTACCCACATAGGTGGATAAATTTATCCGCGTTGGAGGATAAAATTGTCCGCACTGGTGGATAAGATTATCCACATTGGTGCATAAAATTATCCATGTAGGTGGATAAAATTATCCAAGTTGATGGATAAAACTATCCACTTCGGCGGTAAATATTGGTGGATAATATTATCCACGTTGGTGGATAAAATTTTCCACTTCTGTGGATAAAACTATTCAAGTTGATGGATAAAACTATACACTTCGATGGTAAACATTATCCACGTTGGTGGATAAAATTTTCCACTTCTGAGGATAAAACTATTCAAGTTATCCACGTTGCTGCATAAAATTATCCACAATTGGTGGATAAGACTATTATCCATATTGGTAACATTATCCGCTTGGGTGGACAAAATTATCCACATTTGAGATACAATTATCCACATTTGGGATACAATTATCCACATTTGGGATACCATTATCCACGTTTGTGGATAAAATTATCCACCTTTGTGGATAAAACTATCCACGTTTGTGGATAAAATTATCTACGTTAGTGGATAAAGTTATCCACGTTGTTTGAAAAAATTGTCCACGTTCGTGGATGAAATTATCCACCTTGGTGGATAGAATTATCCACGTGGGTGGATAAAATTATCCACGTGGGTGGATAAAATTATCCACGTTGGTGGATAAAATTATCCACGTTGGTGGATAAAATTATCCACCTTGGTGGATAGAATTATCCACGTGGGTGGATAAAATTATCCACGTGGGTGGATAAAATTATCCACGTTGGTGGATAAAATTATCCACGTTGGTGTATTAACTTATCCACGTTAGTAGATAAACTTATCCATGTTAGTAGATAAAATTATCCACGTTGTTGGATAAAATTTTCACGTTGTTGGGTAAAATTTCCACGTTGGTGGATAAAATTATCCACGGGGTGGATATAATTATACACATTGGGGGATAAAATTATCCCAGTTGGCGGATAAAGTTATCCACGTTGGTGGATAAAGTTATCCACTATGGTGGATAAAAATTTCCACATTTGTGGACAAAATTGTCCACATTTGTGGATAAAATTTTCCGCGTAGGTGGATAAAATTTTCGGCGTTGGTGGATAAAATTTTCCACTTCTGAGGATAAAACTATTCAAGTTATCCACGTTGCTGCATAAAATTATCCACAATTGGTGGATAAGACTATTATCCATATTGGTAACATTATCCGCTTGGGTGGACAAAATTATCCACATTTGGGATACAATTATCCACATTTAAGATACAATTATCCACATTTGGGATACCATTATCCACGTTTGTGGATAAAATTATCCACGTTTATGGATAAAATTATCTACGTTAGTGGATAAAGTTATCCACGTTGTTTGAAAAAATTGTCCACGTTCGTGGATGAAATTATCCACCTTGGTGGATAGAATTATCCACGTGGGTGGATAAAATTATCCACGTGGGTGGATAAAATTTTCCACGTTGGTGGATAAAATTATCCACCTTGGTGGATAGAATTATCCACGTGGGTGGATAAAATTATCCACGTTGGTGTATTAACTTATCCACGTTAGTAGATAAACTTATCCACGTTAGTAGATAAAATTATCCACGTTGTTGGATAAAATTTTCACGTTGTTGGGTAAAATTTCCACGTTGGTGGATAAAATTTTCGGAGTTGGTGGATAAAATTATCCACGGGGTGGATATAATTATACACATTGGGGGATAAAATTATCCCAGTTGGCGGATAAAGTTATCCACCTTGGTGGATAAAGTTATCCACTATGGTGGATAAAAATTTCCACATTTGTGGATAAAATTGTCCACATTTGTGGATAAAATTTTCCGCGTAGGTGGATAAAATTTTCGGCGTTGGTGGAGAAAATTATCCACGGGGTGGATATAATTATCCGCATTGGTGAATAAAATTATCCAAGTTATCCACGTTGGTGGATAAAATTATCCACATTTGCGGATAACATTTTCCGCGTTGGTGGATAAAGTCATCCACGTTGGTGGATAAAGTTATCCACGTTGGTGGATAAAGTTATCCACGTTGGTGGATAAAATTATCCACGTTGGTGGATAAAGTTATCCACTTTGGTGGATAAAATTATCCACGTGGGTGGATAAAATTATCCACGAGTGTGGATAATTTTATCCACTAACATGGATGCAGTTATCCACGTGGTTGGATAAAATTATCTACATTGGTGGATAATATTATCCATGTTGTTGTATAAAATTATAAGGATTACCCCAGGTGAATCCTGCAGATTTTCGATTTTCTCGAAATGCGGATATACTTATCGGACACATATTATTGTTGTTGTTACGTTGTTTATCTTTTGTTTGTTAATTATTTCATTCTAAATACTTCGTGCTCTGTTTTGTTGTTTTTTTTTCTAACTACAGTGTTTTTTTTTTGTTACGAACTTCTCACTACGACGTAAAATTGTGCAGGGGCGAAATACTTACGAGACTGTATGTGATGCCATTTCATGGCCATCGGCATACAAATTTTGAACTTGACTGTAATCGGTCCATTCGTGAGAGACATAGAAAGTGGCCGTGATGGGACAACCGTTGGGATTAACACGGCCCTTTTCGAATAGGTCAATGTACAATTGCTTATTCAAATCATTGACGGAATCATCGAAGGTAATCAAGACAATTTGGGGGACATTTTCCACGGGTAGATCACCTATTTGCGAGTAAGGGCCAGGTGGGGTCAGTTGGGGTGGGAGGGCGATTTTGTACAATTCAAACGATCAGAGGGGGCGGGACAATTATGATGAATAATGATAAAATGTTGATGGCGATTATTGAAACAATTTTTTTTGTTGGAAAAAATCGGGGAAATGATGAAAAGCCACATGAAAATAGAGTAAATTTTTATAAAAAAGAATTTGATTAAAATAAAGCAAAAAAACATATGATATATAAAACCTTATATATATAAAAAAAGAGAATTTTCAAAACCAAAAAAACGCAAGAGAGGAGATAGAATGGTAATGAGCTCATGGATGAACGCCTTTATGATACACACACAATCAACCGGGGGGGTTCAACACTTACGACACAGTATGAGAAGCCATTTCATGGCCATCAGCATACAAATCCTGGACCATGCCATAATCGGTCCACTCATGCGATACATAGAACGTTGCCCGTATGGGACAACCATTGGGATTTTTTCGAGTCTCATTGTTGAATAGCTCCTCGTAGAGTTCTATGTTGAGCATGCTGATGGCATCGTCGAATGTGATCAGAACTATTTGTGGTACTTGTTCGAGTTTTAAGTCTCCTATTTTGGTTTTGTGAATTAATTGATTTTTTTTGGGTTTAATTTGGATTTTTATTTTAATTTTCAACACAAAATTGGTTTGCTTTTTGGTAATTTTTGAAATTATTTTAGATTTTTTTGAAAAGATTTTACTTACCGGGTATATCTCTACCACCACAGTAGCAATCGGGCAATAGACAAACATCCTTACGACACTTGGCAGCTGTCTTGTCGGGTGTGGGCTGAGGATACAATGGTTCCGGTCGGGATGGTGGATTCTTGTAGATATCAACGAACTCTTGGGCCTTGCTAACAATGGTTCCCGATGGCTTCAATGTGGGACGTGTGCGGCTGAAAAGAGAGAGACAGGTTTAAATAAGTCCAGTGGATAATTTGGGAAGATAAAAAAATCCCCAAAACTAGAGACCGTTTTTTCCAATTGGAAAAACTGGGCATCGAATCTTTTCCTAAAGGGAAAAAATTCCCAGTAATCTGGGGATCGAATCATTTCCTATAGGGAAAAAAAATCCCCAGTAATTTGGAGATCTAATTTTTCTCATTGGAAAAAATCCCCTGTGACTGGGTATCGATTTTTCACCTTGGAAAAAAATCCCCAAAAACTGAGGATCAAAGTTTATCCCATAGGAAAAAATCTCCAAAAAGTGAGGATCGATTTCTTTCCCATAGAAAAAAATCTCCAAAAACTGGGGATAAATTTTTTCCCCATAGTAAAAAATTCCCAAAAACAAGGGATAGATTTTTTTCCCGTAGGAAAAAATCCCCAAAAACTGGGGATCAACTTTTTTCCCATAGGAAAAATTCCCCAAAAACTGGGGATCGATTTTTCCCCTTAGGAAAAAAATCCCCAAAAACTCGGGATCGATTTTTCCCATAGGAAAAAATCCCCAAAAAATTGAGGATCGATTTTTCGCCATAGGAAAAACTGGGGATCGAATTTTTTCCTAGGAAAGAACCCTATAACTGGGGATCGATTTTTTTCCTATAGGGAAAAAATCCTCTATTGGAAAAAAATACCCAGTAACTGGGGATCTTTTTTTTCATAAAGAGAAAAAAGTCCCTAATAATCTGAGGACAGATTTTTTCCCCAGTTACAGGGAATTTCTATAGAAATTGAATCCCAGTAACTGGGAATTTTTATAGATATTGGTCCCGAGTAACTGGGGATTTATATAGGAATTGATCCCCAGTAACCGGGAATTTCTTTAGAAATTGATTCCCAGTAACTGGAAATTTCTATAGAAATTAATCCCAGTAACTGGGAATTTCTATAGAAATTTATCCCCAGTAATTGAGGATTTCTATAGAAATTAATACCCAGTAACTGGGGATTTCTATAGAAATAAATACCCAGTAACTGGGGATTTCTATAGAAATAAATACCCAGTAACTGAGGATCTCTATAAAAATAAATACCCAGTAACGGGGAATTTCTATAGAAATTAATCCCCAGTAACTGGGGATTTCTTAAAAAAAATCAAGTAACTTGGGATTTCCATAAAAAGTAATCCCCAGTAACTGGGGATTTATTTCAAACCTTTGAGGTTTGAAATAAAATAGGTTTGTAATAAAATACTTACGGTGGATGCGTTCCACGATTACTGGTCACAGGTGATGATCCAACATCTCCTTGATTGTAGTTGTTCGAAGATGATAAGCTACCACGATTCCTGTTACTATTCGAATTAAGTCTGATTATTTTTTCAATCAAAATGAATTATGGTTTTGCAAATAGGTTTTGGCAATTTATTTGAAAATTTAGTAGAATTTGGATTTTAGTTATTAGAATAAAAAACAGCAAAAACAGGGAAAAAGAGAAAAAAATGAGATTAAGAGAAAAAACAAAGGAAGCGATTAGAAAACAGGCAGTGTTATTGCTTAGAAATTAAAATATAATAAATAATCTTAGCAGATAATAAAACAAAATGACACTTTAATATGAGAGCTTCTTTTTTTTATAAAACGAAAATATTATACAAATACACCAATTATGCAAAGTTAGTTACAAAATGGTGAAATAATGAAATGACCAACACCTTGATACTCTAAAGCTGAAAAGAAAATTATTTAAAATTTATAAAAAAAAATATTCTTCCTTCTCTACAAGAAATCCCCAACAGAACTCAAAAATTACAATGTTTACAAAAATAATTGCGAATAGTTTTTTTTTTTACAGTGAGAACCAAAAAGTATTTTTCATGTTTAGAGTAATATTTCAACTGATAATGACTGTATGTTTTGGAATTTTTTCTTTTCAGTGTATTGTGTAAGTCTTCGGTTTAATTTGTGGTCTTGAAATGTTCCAGTATCGTTTTGTCTTTTCTATGTGAAAAAAAACCTGAAATAGAAATATTAAATAAATTTCTTAAAATTTCCAAAAAACTTCTTCACAAAATGACGAGGAAAAGGCAAGAACTTTGTTATGGTATAATTGACGAAATATTGATCAGGGTTCTTTAGACTTTTTGAGAGACTTCACTTTATTCCGACATTTCTATATTTTTTAGCTTTTTTCTAACAATTTTTCCAGTGTACGCAAATATTAGGAAAATTCCAATCTGAGGTGTAAAATTGTAATGAATGACAGTGTGGTAAATTTTCGATTTCGAGACTAGGTTTTTTATGGATTAATGATTTTAGATGAAACTACAAAGAATGGAAGAAACTGTACGTTATGGCTGAGTTATGGACTCTACAAATGATTTATGCTCAATAAATACCAAAATATAGTTTAAATATCAATGCATAACCTACTTATATCCTTTACAGGTGGCGTTTTCTAATGAACAATTTTCGGCAATAACTTATTTATATAATTTTTGCCAATGAAATATTCATAATGAAATGGTATGTAAAAATATTTTTATGGTATACGTCACTTAGGGCTTAACTAGGCACAAATCTGCAAAAATTCTTGGTCATAACACTGTGACCTCTCCCAAACACATTGTGTCTTTGAATAAGCAATGTCATCTATGTATGAAGACACAACTATAGCCCTTGCAAATTACAAGATGATAGATAGATGGCGTTTTTGGTGAAATATTACCTAAAAATTTCGTTCCAAGCTAAAGCTAAATCTTACTGTAACTCCTAGAAACTATGCAAACAAGGAAGTTTCTATTAAAACATAAATAATAGTAGATGGAATAAAGAAACGATTTACACAACTCAAGAAACAATAAGGCTTTTAATGGATTCTTATTTTCCGCATGACTCCACGTCTAAGACAAATGAAGAATCTGAAACTGACAACATATTAAGGTATGTCACAATCGAAGGCACTTAATCCGAAAAAAAACATAAATATATTTTTCATAATGATGACAAAATTTGAGAAGAACCTATATCTGAGTTTGGCTAATATTTGGATCTTCGAGGACTGCCTTCTAGTTTTGTTACTGTCTGTATAAAATTAGTAGGTGGGAAATGGGGCTTATATTCAATGAGAACACACAAGAGTTTTATTTCACCCATTTTAATATACGCTTCTGTAGTTTGGAAAAAGTAGACATTTTTCACAAGGATGACAACAAGTTGTAAAAGTCTTCCTGAACAGGACAAGCTTTGTCTCAAATAAAATCTTAGCTCGTTAAATTGTAAAAGCCTAAACATTTTACCATTTGGTTGATTGATAATTTATTTTGATAACTCTCATTTTTACTAGTTTTGTCGTCCAGTACAAGGGTAGTAGGTTGGAAATGGGGATTCATGTCAAAGACAAAACACTGGAAAAGCAAAAGTGTATGGGTGGAGAAATCTGAACTACGACACCTAGTGAAATATTAAGGTATGAAACGACCGTCGCAGTTTAAGGACTAATGTTTATGAAAAGGTCACTACTGGTCAAAAGTACTGCTAACTTCAGGTCGGGATGGACTAAAATTTTCAAAAAAAAAAAAAAAAAAAACAGTAAGGAAAGCTCAAAAGTCGGGCGGGGCCGACTATATGATATCCTACACCACTATGCATATTTAGTAGAGCTCTCGTAAAAAGGTTTATACAGGGCATTTCAGAGCTCTATGAGATATTTGGTACAAAATCAAAATCTATCTAATTCTATCGTGCATTTTACGAACTATAGCTATCTCTGAACCGGGTTTCTCCAAATTTGACGTATTAGATTCTAGACTGAATTCGGTCTTATGTACGAAAATTCAGGTGATTTGGGCGAATATTGACCATTTAGTGCACATTTAACCCGAAATCGGATGAATATATATATGGGAGCTATATCCAAATCTGAACCGATTTCGATAAAATTTAAAACAGCTATTCCTGTGCTCCATCTAATACCTGGTACCAAATATCACGGTTGTGGAGTGAATATTACGAATGTAAGGGACTAAAACACTAAATCGGATGAAACATATATGTGGTTGCTATATCTATATCTGAACCGATTTTCACTAAATTTGATATACTTGCTTCTAGGCTGAATTTGGTCCGATGTACTAAAATTCAGTCCATTTGGACTTATATCGGCCATTTGGTGCACAATTAACCCGAAATCGGATGAAGGAGCTATATCCAAATCTGAACCGATTTCGATACAATTACAAACAGCTATTTCTGGGCTGTATCTTATATCTGGTACCAAATATCATTCTTGTGGAGTGCATATTACGAATGTGAGAGGCTTAAACGCCAAATCGGATAAAACATATATATGGGAGCTATAGCTGTTTCTGAATTTGTTGTATTTGCTTTAAGGCTAATCTCGGTCACATGTGCCAAAGTTCGGGCCATTTCGGCTGATATTGGCCATTTGGTGGTCAATTAACCCGAAATCGGATGAAGATATATATGGGAGCTATATCCAAATCTGAACCGATTTCGATAAAATTTAAAACAGCTATTTCTGTGCTCCATCTAATACCTGGTACCAAATATCACGGTTGTGGAGTGCATAGTAGGAATGTGAGGGACTTAAACATCAAATCGGATGAAAGATATATATGGGAGCTATAGCTATATCTGAACCGATTTTCTCCAAATTTGATATACTTGCTTCTAGGCCGAACTCGGTTGGGTGTGCCAAAATTCAGGTAATTTGGACTGATTGTGGACATTTGGTGCACATTTAACCCGAAATCGGATGAAGATATATATGGGAGCTATATCTAAATTTGATCCGATTCTCACCAATTTCAATAGGGTTCGTCCTTGGGCCAAAAAAAATATTGTTTGGAAAATTTCATCTCAATCGGATAATAAAGACAAGTGTTGTCGTTTCCTACAAGAATAGTAGATTGAAAATGGGGATTCTATCCCATTGGTAAAAGTTTACAAACTTTTCCGGATATGGGTAGATCGAATTGGTACTTACAAAAAAAAAAAAGGTTAATCAATTATGTTTACAAAGGTATGTCGTAGTATTGTCATTTTGACAAGAATAGTAGATTAAACACGGGGATCCTATTGCACTGGTAAGAATTTACAACATTTTCCAAGACATGGGTAATTTGAAGGAAGACATTGGTACGTACAAACAACCTACTAATCTAACATTTTTACAAGGGCATGTTGTAGTATTGTCAATTTGATAGGCGTTTTCGTTCCGTTCAAGGGTAGTAGGTTTCAAATGGGAATTGTATCCCATTGGAAAGAATTTACAAAGAATTCCAAACAAAGTTTAGTTTGAAGGCAGACATGGAAATCTGAAAATATATCATTTGTGCCATTTCTATTTCAATCATTGGCCATTGTTTGTAGCTTCTGTGGACCTTCTTGGTTCCTTCCATAGTCAATGATCAAATAAACAAATTCCTTAAAAAAATGAATCGTCAGGCCTGATTTTGGATACGTAGCTAAACCCATTTTTATAAATGTAAATCTAGAGTACGTCCAATTTGCTCCAAACCATGAACAAAAAACTTCGAGATTTTAGATCCTAGCTTTTATCTAATTAGCTCCAAATTGATTTTTATGAGCCAAAAAATGTTGATTTATATTTTATAGGTTTATAGTATTTTTAGGTATATTTTTAATAGACGTAAATGGGGGGAAATGGAACAAAGAAGTCATTAAACGTTGCATACTTTTAGGCATGTATGCAAAGTAAACAATCTAAATTGAATAAAAAAATAAACTCAAAGTTTATAATTGACCACTAAAAATGTATTAATTAAGAATCGGTTTACATATTCAATGTACCGAGAGGTGGAGACATTAAGTCTATAATATGGGGTTGATTGGCGAAGAGAGGATATGCTGGGATCTTTTTATTTGGAACAATTTTTTTGTTGTAGTAGGACAAATTGAAAAAAATGAGTCCACGATATGTCCGTTTGGAATCTAAAGGAAAAAATATTTTATAACTTAAAGTTTTGTTGTTGTTTAATAAATGCAAAAATAATTTAGGCAAAAACTAAGGTGCATCAAATGAGAGAAAGCTAAATTGTTTATTTTCGTCCAATAGCGCCAACAATTTAGAGTGCATTTCAAAATGACAATGAGCTTTTCGGTTCTCACTTTAAGGTGAATATTAACGTTTTTGGTTTTTTATATTTTTTAAAAATGTCTAAAATTGGTGCGTTAAAAAAATTATGGAAAAATCTAATAAAAAATAACGAAAACCCAAAAAAACAAACAAAATAAAAAAGAAACGTAACACAACTCAAATTCTAAAATTTACCACCACCTGGAACAAAAAACAATTTCTATTGAAAAAAAAAATTGTAAAATTTTG